ACATGCTGTTTGCGGGCATACACATGTTGTTTGCGGGCATACACATGCTGTTTGCGGGCATACACATGCTGTTTGCGGGCTTACACATGCTGTTTGCGGGCATACACATGCTGTTTGCGGGCTTACACATGCTGTTTGCGGGCATACACATGCTGTTTGCAGGCATACACATGTTGTTTGCGGGCATACACATGCTGTTTGCGGGCATACACATGCTGTTTGCGGGCATACACATGCTGTTTGCGGGCATACACATGCTGTTTGCGGGCTTACACAGGCTGTTTGCGGGCATACACATGTTGTTTGCGGGCATACACATGCTGTTTGCGGGCATACACATGCTGTTTGCGGGCTTACACATGTTGTTTGCGGGCATACACATGCTGTTTGCAGGCATACACATGCTGTTTGCGGGCATACACATGCTGTTTGCGGGCATACACATGCTGTTTGCGGGCATAAACATGCTGTTTGCAGGCATACACATGCTGTTTGCGGGCTTACACATGCTGTTTGCGGGCATACACATGCTGTTTGCGGGCATACACATGCTGTTTGCGGACATACACATGCTGTTTGCGGGCATACACATGCTGTTTGCGGGCATACACATGCTGTTTGCGGGCATACACATGCTGTTTGCGGGCATACACATGCTGTTTGCGGGCATACACATGCTGTTTGCGGGCATACACATGTTGTTTGTGGGCATAAACATGCTGTTTGCGGGCATACACAGGCTGTTTGCGGGCATACACATGCTGTTTGCGGGCATACACATGTTGTTTGCGGGCATACACATGCTGTTTGCGGGCATACACATGCTGTTTGCGGGCATACACATGCTCTTTGCGGGCATACACATGCTGTTTGCGGGCATACACATGCTGTTTGTGGGCATAAACATGCTGTTTGCGGGCATAAACATGCTGTTTGCGGGCATACACATGCTGTTTGCGGGCATACACATGCTGTTTGGGGGCATAAACATGCTGTTTGCGGGCATACACATGCTGTTTGTGGGCATACACATGTTGTTTGCGGGCATACACATGTTGTTTGCGGGCATACACATGCTGTTTGCGGGCATACACATGCTGTTTGCGGGCATACACATGCTGTTTGCGGGCATACACATGCTGTTTGCGGGCATACACATGCTGTTTGCGGGCATACACATGCTGTTTGGGGGCATAAACATGCTGTTTGCGGGCATGCACATGCTGTTTGCGGGCATACACATGCTGTTTGCGGGCATACACATGCTGTTTGTGGGCATAAACATGCTGTTTGCGGGCATACACACGCTGTTTGCGGGCATACACATGCTGTTTGCGGGCATACACATGCTGTTTGCGGGCTTACACATGCTGTTTGCGGGCATACACATGCTGTTTGTGGGCATACACATGCTGTTTGCGGGCATACACATGCTGTTTGCGGGCATACACATGCTGTTTGTGGGCATAAACATGCTGTTTGCGGGCATACACATGCTGTTTGCGGGCATACACATGCTGTTTGCGGGCATACACATGCTGTTTGCGGGCATACACATGCTGTTTGCGGGCTTACACATGCTGTTTGCAGGCATACACATGTTGTTTGCGGGCATACACATGCTGTTTGCGGGCATACACATGCTGTTTGCGGGCATACACATGCTGTTTGCGGGCATACACATGCTGTTTGCGGGCATACACATGCTGTTTGTGGGCATACACATGCTGTTTGCAGGCATACACATGTTGTTTGCGGGCATACACATGCTGTTTGCGGGCTTACACATGCTGTTTGCAGGCATACACATGCTGTTTGCGGGCATACACATGTTGTTTGCGGGCATACACATGTTGTTTGCGGGCATACACATGCTGTTTGCGGGCATACACATGCTGTTTGCGGGCATACACATGCTGTTTGCGGGATTACACATGCTGTTTGCGGGCATACACATGCTGTTTGCGGGCATACACAGGCTGTTTGCGGGCTTACACATGCTGTTTGCGGGCATACACATGTTGTTTGCGGGCATACACATGCTGTTTGCGGGCATACACATGCTGTTTGCGGGCATACACATGCTGTTTGCGGGCATACACAGGCTGTTTGCGGGCTTACACATGCTGTTTGCGGGCATACACATGTTGTTTGCGGGCATACACATGCTGTTTGCGGGCATACACATGCTGTTTGCGGGCTTACACATGCTGTTTGCGGGCATACACATGCTGTTTGCGGGCTTACACATGCTGTTTGCGGGCATACACATGCTGTTTGCAGGCATACACATGCTGTTTGCGGGCATACACATGCTGTTTGCGGGCATACACATGCTGTTTGCGGGCATACACATGCTGTTTGCGGGCATACACATGCTGTTTGAGGGCTTACACAGGCTGTTTGCGGGCTTACACATGCTGTTTGCGGGCATACACATGCTGTTTGCGGGCATACACATGCTGTTTGCGGGCTTACACATGCTGTTTGCAGGCATACACATGTTGTTTGCGGGCATACACATGCTGTTTGCGGGCATACACATGCTGTTTGCGGGCATACACATGCTGTTTGCGGGCATACACATGCTGTTTGCGGGCATACACATGCTGTTTGCGGGCTTACACATGCTGTTTGCAGGCATACACATGTTGTTTGCGGGCATACACATGCTGTTTGCGGGCATACACATGCTGTTTGCGGGCATACACATGCTGTTTGCGGGCATACACATGCTGTTTGCGGGCATACACATGCTGTTTGTGGGCATACACATGCTGTTTGCAGGCATACACATGTTGTTTGCGGGCATACACATGCTGTTTGCGGGCTTACACATGCTGTTTGCAGGCATACACATGCTGTTTGCGGGCATACACATGTTGTTTGCGGGCATACACATGTTGTTTGCGGGCATACACATGCTGTTTGCGGGCATACACATGCTGTTTGCGGGCATACACATGCTGTTTGCGGGATTACACATGCTGTTTGCGGGCATACACATGCTGTTTGCGGGCATACACAGGCTGTTTGCGGGCTTACACATGCTGTTTGCGGGCATACACATGTTGTTTGCGGGCATACACATGCTGTTTGCGGGCATACACATGCTGTTTGCGGGCATACACATGCTGTTTGCGGGCATACACAGGCTGTTTGCGGGCTTACACATGCTGTTTGCGGGCATACACATGTTGTTTGCGGGCATACACATGCTGTTTGCGGGCATACACATGCTGTTTGCGGGCTTACACATGCTGTTTGCGGGCATACACATGCTGTTTGCGGGCTTACACATGCTGTTTGCGGGCATACACATGCTGTTTGCAGGCATACACATGTTGTTTGCGGGCATACACATGCTGTTTGCGGGCATACACATGCTGTTTGCGGGCATACACATGCTGTTTGCGGGCATACACATGCTGTTTGAGGGCTTACACAGGCTGTTTGCGGGCTTACACATGCTGTTTGCGGGCATACACATGCTGTTTGCGGGCATACACATGCTGTTTGCGGGCTTACACATGCTGTTTGCAGGCATACACATGTTGTTTGCGGGCATACACATGCTGTTTGCGGGCATACACATGCTGTTTGCGGGCTTACACATGCTGTTTGCAGGCATACACATGCTGTTTGCGGGCATACACATGTTGTTTGCGGGCATACACATGTTGTTTGCGGGCATACACATGCTGTTTGCGGGCATACACATGCTGTTTGCGGGCATACACATGCTGTTTGCGGGCTTACACATGCTGTTTGCGGGCATACACATGCTGTTTGCGGGCATACACAGGCTGTTTGCGGGCTTACACATGCTGTTTGCGGGCATACACATGTTGTTTGCGGGCATACACATGCTGTTTGCGGGCATACACATGCTGTTTGCGGGCATACACATGCTGTTTGCGGGCATACACAGGCTGTTTGCGGGCTTACACATGCTGTTTGCGGGCATACACATGTTGTTTGCGGGCATACACATGCTGTTTGCGGGCATACACATGCTGTTTGCGGGCTTACACATGCTGTTTGCGGGCATACACATGCTGTTTGCGGGCTTACACATGCTGTTTGCGGGCATACACATGCTGTTTGCAGGCATACACATGTTGTTTGCGGGCATACACATGCTGTTTGCGGGCTTACACATGCTGTTTGCAGGCATACACATGCTGTTTGCGGGCATACACATGTTGTTTGCGGGCATACACATGCTGTTTGCGGGCATACACATGCTGTTTGCGGGCATACACATGTTGTTTGCGGGCATACACATGCTGTTTGCGGGCATACACATGCTGTTTGTGGGCATACACATGCTGTTTGCGGGCATACACATGCTGTTTGCGGGCTTACACAGGCTGTTTGCGGGCATACACATGTTGTTTGCGGGCATACACATGCTGTTTGCGGGCATACACATGCTGTTTGCGGGCTTACACATGTTGTTTGCGGGCATACACATGCTGTTTGCAGGCATACACATGCTGTTTGCGGGCATACACATGCTGTTTGCGGGCTTACACAGGCTGTTTGCGGGCATACACATGTTGTTTGCGGGCAAACACATGTTGTTTGCGGGCATACACATGCTGTTTGCGGGCATACACATGCTGTTTGCGGGCTTACACATGTTGTTTGCGGGCATACACATGCTGTTTGCGGGCATACACATGCTGTTTGCGGGCTTACACAGGCTGTTTGCGGGCATACACATGTTGTTTGCGGGCATACACATGCTGTTTGCGGGCATACACATGCTGTTTGCGGGCATACACATGCTGTTTGCGGGCATACACATGCTGTTTGCGGGCATACACATGCTGTTTGCGGGCTTACACAGGCTGTTTGCGGGCATACACATGTTGTTTGCGGGCATACACATGCTGTTTGCGGGCATACACATGCTGTTTGCGGGCTTACACATGTTGTTTGCGGGCATACACATGCTGTTTGCGGGCATACACATGCTGTTTGCGGGCATACACATGCTGTTTGCGGGCTTACACAGGCTGTTTGCGGGCATACACATGTTGTTTGCGGGCATACACATGCTGTTTGCGGGCATGCACATGCTGTTTGCGGGCATACACATTCTGTTTGCGGGCATACACATGCTGTTTGCGGGCATACAGCAGCAACTGCAAGTGAGCACAAATTGGTCCCCAGTGCCTTTGGTGGTACCATCAGTAGTACCCCACCTGAACCCCCCGCCCTGCTCCTACGAATGGTCCTTCATTGAATAAGCATGCAATACAACAAGGTACCACCTTAGGCGCCAGTACCTCTTGTAACAATTCCCCTCTTGCTCCATCCTCCCTTCCCCGAACATGGTCTCCCCAGCTACCTCCCCGATCACCTCCCGCATCACCCTCACCGCACCCCTCGCCCCTCCCCTCCCTTCGACCCCATCCTCCCTCCTCCCTTCCCCCAACACACAACAGTTGCTCTGGTCTCCCCAGCCACCTCTCCGATCACCTCCCGCATCACCCTCACATCACCCCTCACCGACACGCACGAGGGCACGTCAGTGCCCGACGGTTTCGGTGGGACGGTGGACATCCGAGCTCATCAGTGCCCCACCCTCCCCTTCTGCTCCAATCCCTCCCCCCCCACAAACACAATAGTGGCTCTCGTCTCCCCGGCCACGTCCCCACCCACCTCCCGCATCACCCTCACCGCACCCCTGGCCCACACGCACGAGGGAACATCGGTGCCCGATGGTTTCGGTGGCACGGTGGATATCCGTGCTGAGGTGGCGCTGCTTGATAGGCAGATCGTCGTTCAGGGCACGGACGAGGCTGCTCCACACCAATATGATGGTATGTGAGGCACACATTCCTAGGCTACTACTCAGCTTCAGTTTGTAAGGCTGTTAGCTTACGCTGTCAGTTCGGCACACTAGCTCTTGTCATTCAGGGCACAGACGAGGCTGCTCCCCACCAATATGATGGTATGTGGGGCGCATGCTTGGGCTGTCAGCTAGGCACTCTTCTGGAGGCTGTTAGTTAGGCGCACACACTTGGCATCAAGGGCACGGACGAGGCTGCTCCACTTTTGAGTTGACTCAAAAGTCAGTTCGGCACTCTTCTGGTGCGTGCTTGCGCTGTCAGCCTCGTCCGTTCCCCTGATGCCAAGTGTGTGCGCCTAACTAACACTTGCACACACTTGGCATCAAGACCACGGACGAGGCTGCTCCACACCAGTACGACGATCTGTGAGTCAGGCGCACACTTTGGCTGCCAGGACTACAGTTTTGGCTGTCAGCTTGGCACATGTTTAGGCTATTAGTTAGGCACACCCTTGTCATTCAGGGCATCATCGAGGCTGCTCTGTCGGTTTTCCATTACTTGAGAAACCCCCTTCCCTCCCCTCCTCCCTCCCCCAACCAGGCGGGCACTTCATGGTGTATATGACTCGCACCCAGCAAGCCACTGAAGGGGTTCAGTTCAGAGGGCTGGGCAACCAAGGCACGCTCGGGCGCCACCCCCTCCACCACACTTCCACGTGTGCGGGCTCCCTCTCATCTCCTGTCATCCCCTCCTCTCTTTACCCACCAGGCGGGCACTTCATGGTATACATGACGTGCACCCCCCAGGTCATCGAGGGGGGTCAGTTCCGAGGGCTGGGCAACCAAGGCACCCTCGGGCGCTACCCCCTTCACTTCCACGTGTGTGGCCTCCCTCTCATCTCCTGTCATCCCCTCCTCTCTTTACCCACCAGGCGGGCACTTCATGGTATACATGACGTGCACCCCCCAGGTCATCGAGGGGGTTCAGTTCCGAGGGCTGGGCAACCAAGGCACCCTCGGGCGCTACCCCCTTCACTTCCACGTGTGTGGCCTCCCTCTCATCTCCTGTCATCCCCTCCTCTCTTTACCCACCAGGCGGGCACTTCATGGTATACATGACGTGCACCCCCCAGGTCATCGAGGGGGTTCAGTTCCGAGGGCTGGGCAACCAAGGCACCCTCGGGCGCTACCCCCTTCACGTGTGTGGCCTCCCTCTCATCTCCTGTCATCCCCTCCTCTCCCCTTCAACAGGTGGTCACTTCATGGTGTATATGACTCGCACTCCTCAAACCATTGAGGGGGTTCAGTTCAGGGGACTAGGCAACCAAGGCACGCTCGGCCGCTACCCCCTCCATTTCCACGTGTGCGGGCTCCCCGCGGACGCATCTCAGCCGCACATCGTGCGCAAGAACGCGATCGTGCACTCGAAGCAACGGTGCATGGTGATCCACGCGACCAGCAACATGAGCATAGAAGATAATATCACTTATGAGACCAAGGGACACTGCTACCTGGTGGAGGAGGGGTCGGAGATGGGAAACGTGTTTCGGAGGAACCTGGGGATGAGCGTGAGGGGCGTGGAGAAGGCGATTCCCCCGGATACAAGTGATCAGTACGGGTTTCACACGGACAAGCAGCCGAGCGTGTTCTGGATGGCGACTCCTTACAATAGCTTCTATGGGAATGTTGCTGCGGGTTCCGAGAACAGCGGGTGAGTCACGAGGGAACCTGGGGATGAGTGTGAGAGGGGTGGAGAAGCTGATTTCCCCGGATTCGACGGATCGGTATGGGTTCCACCTGGTTTTTGAGAATTCTAAAAAACCAGCTCTTTCCACACGGACAAGCAAGCAGCCAAGCGTGTTCTGGATGGCCACTCCTTACAATAGCTTCTATGGGAATGTTGCTGCTGGTTCGGAGAACAGCGGGTGAGTGGAAATGAGTGTAGAGGAGGGAAGTGGAGTGGAGTAGGGTGGAGTCTAGCTGGGGTTTCACACGGACAAGCAGCCGAGCGTGTTCTGGATGGCGACTCCTTATAACAGCTTCTATGGGAACGTGGCTGCTGGGTCGCACAACAGCGGGTGAGCCGAATCAAGTTGACTCCCCCGTTGCTAGCTGTCTCCCCTCTCAACCCCTCTCCCCTCTCAACCCCTCCCCTCTCAACCCCTCTCCCCTCTCAACCCCTCTCCCCTCTCAACCCCTCTCCCCTCTCAACCCCTCTCCCCTCTCAACCCCTATCCCCTCTCAACCCCTCTCCCCTCTCAACCCCTCTCCCCTCTGAACCCCTTTCCCGTCCCGTCCCTCTCCCTTGTCTCTCCCCCTTGTCTCGACCCCCTTGTCTCTCCCATTCTCATTCCCCCAGCTTCTGGCTAGAGGCTAACCCCACCATGAGGGGCATCTCACGCCTGCTGCCTGCCATCGGCAACAAACGGCCCGACAGGTGGGCGTGCGTGAGTATGTGGGGGTTCGCTGGGGCATGGGGTCGTGGGGTGTGGGGCCGTGGGGGCATGGGGGCATGGGGGCATGTGTGGCTGCACCCACCATGCGGGGTATCTTGCGACTGCTGCCTGACATCAGCAACAAACGGCCTGACAGGTGGGTGTGGGGGCTTGTAGGTATGGGGGTTGTCTGGTATGTGAGCATGGGATGTGGGGTATGGGGGCATGGGGGCATGAGGTGTGTGCGTTCTCTGGGCATGGAGGCCAACCCCACCATGAGGGGTATCTCACGCCTTCTGCCTGACATTGACGATAAACGACCAGACAGGTGGGTGGGCAAGGGGGAGGGGAGGGGTTGGCGTGGGGGGGTTGTGATGGGGACATGAGGGCACGGGGGCATGAAGGCATGTCTGCATGTGGGTATGGTCTTTGCCCGTCACACCTGCTAATGGGGCTGGGTCCCCCACCCGCTTTCATCCCTTACCCACCCCACTGCCTGTGATGCTGCCCACTTGGTCTCTACTCTCCCATTTGCAGGTGCAGGTTCAACTGGGGGGACTATGTGGGTGACGTGGCGCACTCGTCCCTCTTTGGCCTCTGCACCTGCTACCCTGACACCCTCTCCCCTGCCCTCGTCGTGCTCCCCATCCCCCCACACCCCCAACCACTTCCCCCCTCTCCTGCTCTCACACGCACAGGTTTAACTTGGGCGGGTATGTGGGCAACGTGGCCCATTCTTCCCTCTTTGGCCTCCGCACCTACCCCCACGGCTCGCAGTCCCGCTTCCCCAACTACACTGGCTCGATCACATACCTCAAAGACGCACTCCTCCCTCTTTGGCTTCTTCCCTCCCCACCCACCACCGCAAAATTGCAGGTTCAACTGGGGAGAGTATGTGGGTAACGTGGCGCACTCGTCCCTCTTTGGCTTCCGCACGTATCCCCACGGCTCACAGTCCCGCTTCCCCGACTACACGGGGGTGATCACGTATCTCAAGGACTCACTCTTCTACCGGAACAAAGCAGGGTGAGTGACTCACAAGAGAGTCTAACTCGACAGTGCAGTTTTTTTACGGTTCTAATTTCTACTAAAGGCTTCCCCAACTGCAACGGCACCAGCCAGCCAGCCATCACGATTTTTTATGCGCCTAAAAAATCCTAACAGGTGTTCGCCCTTATGCTCATGTCTAGAGTGAGTGAAGCCCAAGAGAGTCTAACTCGACAGTGCAGTTTTTTATGACTCTACCAGAGGCTTCCCCAACTGCAACAGCACCACCAGCCAGCCAGCCATCACGTATCTCAAGGACGCTCCCTTCTACCAAAACAAGGCCGGGTGAGTTGAACAAGGGAAGGGATGGTAGGGCAAGAAACCTCCAAGTGTGAGAGCTTGTACGAGCCTTTCACTACTGCTACAACAACGCCCTTTCACACTTCAAGGATGCTCTTTTCTACCGGAATAAGCCCGGGTGAGTGGAGGCAGAGAGCATTGGTGGTGGAGAACGGCGCATATGTGAGTTGACTCAAGCCCACCTGTCCCTTCTTGACCTTCGCTTCTCTTCCGTCCCTCCCCTTTCCACCCCTTCCCAGCATCCTCTTTGTGAACACGGATCGCATAGTGGTGGAGAGCGGTGCATTTGTTGTGAGTTGTTTCCAGCCCACCTGTCCCTCCCGTCCTGTCTTGACTTTCTCTCCCTGCACCCTCCCCTTCCCAGCATCCTCTTTGTGAACACGGATCGCATAGTGGTGGAGAACGGTGCATTTGTGGAGAACGCATATGGGATGGACATCAGTCGAAACGGTGGGGTGACAGTCAAGGGATGCCGATTCGTGGGCACTCTCCCCTCCACCTGCACGTAAGGGAAGGGAAGGGAGGGGAAGGGTGTACCTTTGACCCGCTGGAAAGCTAAAGGAAGGGAGTGAGTTCTATTTGCACCCAAGGGAAGCAGGTCACTCTGACCAGCATTTATGGGAAGGGAACGCGTACGGGATGGACATCAGTCGAAACGGAACTCGGCACCTCAAACTTGCACGTCAGTTGATTAGTGCAGACGTAGGTATAAAAACAACGATCAAGATTATCCAAGCACTGGAAAATCGCATGGCACACAACAAACCCCCATCTACCGATGAGCTACCAATCATACTAAAAGAAGAAACAATCGTTTGTGGATATCCACTTGAGGATATTCGCTCGAAGATATCTACTCGAGGATATCCGCTCGCGGATTACCGTTCGAGGATATCCGCTCGAGGATATCCGCTCGCGGATATCCGCTCGAGGATATCCGCTCGAGGATATCCGTTCGAGGATATCCGCTCGCGGATTACCGTTCGAGGATATCCGCTCGAGGATATCCGCTCGCGGATATCCGTTCGTGGATATCCGCTCGTGGATATCCGCTCGTGGATATCCGCTCGAGGATATCCGCTCGTGGATATCCGCTCGAGGATATCCGCTCGTGGATATCCGCTCGAGGATATCCGTTCGAGGATATCCGTTCGAGGATATCCGCTCGCGGATTACCGTTCGAGGATATCCGCTCGAGGATATCCGCTCGCGGATATCCGCTCGTGGATATCCGCTCGTGGATATCCGCTCGTGGATATCCGCTCGAGGATATCCGCTCGTGGATATCCGCTCGTGGATATCCGCTCGAGGATATCCGTTCGAGGATATCCGCTCGAGGATATCCGCTCGAGGATATCCGTTCGAGGATTACCGTTCGAGGATTACCGTTCGAGGATATCCGCTCGAGGATATCCGCTCGAGGATATCCGCTCGCGGATATCCGTTCGTGGATATCCGCTCGTGGATATCCGCTCGTGGATATCCGCTCGAGGATATCCGCTCGTGGATATCCGCTCGAGGATATCCGCTCGTGGATATCCGCTCGAGGATATCCGTTCGAGGATATCCGCTCGAGGATATCCGCTCGAGGATATCCGCTCGAGGATATCCGCTCGAGGATATCCGCTCGTGGATATCCGCTCGAGGATATCCGCTCGTGGATATCCGCTCGAGGATATCCGCTCGAGGATATCCGTTCGAGGATATCCGCTCGAGGATATCCGCTCGAGGATATCCGCTCGAGGATATCCGCTCGAGGTTATCCGCTCGAGGATATCCGCTCGAGGATATCCGCTCGTGGATATCCGCTCGTGGATATCCGCTCGTGGATATCCGCTCGAGGATATCCGCTCGAGGATATCCGCTCGAGGATATCTGCTCGAGGATATCCTCAAGTGGAACAGAAGCAGAAACAGCAGCAGTAGGAACAGAAGCACAAACAGAAACAGCAGAAACAGCAGCAGCAGGAACAGAAGCAGTAGCAGAAACAGCAGAAACAGCAGCAGCAGCAGAAACAGCAGCAGCAGCAGCAGAAAAATCAGCAGCAAACTTGCACCTCAAACTTGCACCTGCATGGGTGCGGTGTATTGTATGGGTGTGCGGTGCAGTGCATGGGTGACAGTCAAGGGATGCCGCTTCATTTTGATTCTCCTCAGAATTGGTGAGACGTCTCAAAACTAGTGGCCTTGCTTGCATGTGAAAGTGGCTTTCACTTACGTGTGAAGGTTTTTGGGGACGTCCCAAAGCTCGGTTTCTATTGGAGATTGGACGGCCACGGAATGCTGATTCTTGTTGCTTTTTTTGTCCTTCTGTCCCCCTCTCCCTTTGTCCCCCTGTCTCCCTCTCCCTCTGTCTCTATCCATTGGTGCCTTTGTTCCCCTCTCACCCTGCCCGCCTGTCCCTCTGCCCCTCTGTCGCCCTGTCCCTCTTTCCCTCTGTCCCCGTGTTCCCAGTGCTAAGGCTATGGCTGCCATTCGCAGCAGCAGCAGCAGCAGCAGCAGTTGCAGCAGAAGCAGCGGCAGCACCAAGAGCATGAGCCTCGCCAGCAGCAGTATCACCAACAAGAGCAACCAGCCTTCAGCCACAGGTCCTGACACTCTCTCTCTTTCTTTCCAGGGCCCCACCACAGAGTGGGAACCACCTGGCATGGCTGATGCCATCAAGCCATGGGCCCAGTTCCTCTATCCCTTTCCCAGTGATAATGGGAGTGACTACAGTGATGATGGGGGTGACTATGACGAATATGGGGATTATGGTGGGGGTGGTGCGGGGGGTGGGACTGGTAGTAGCAGCAGCACAGGCAGCAGCAGTGGCGGCAGCAACAGCGACAGCCGCAGTGGCAGCAGTGGCGGCAGCAGCAACAGCAGCGGTGGCAGCACCAACAGCAGCGGTGGCGGTGGTAGCAGCAGCAGCAGCAGCAGCAGTGGAGAGGCGGAGATGGCATACAACATAACGGCAGGCGAGGTGCCTCCGTGGGCTGAGAGCTTCTGGCTGGGCTACTGGGACGAGCCCGTGCAAGCAACAGCGGCAGGGCCGGGGCAAGCAGCAGTGCAGGCGGCAGGAGCGCAAGCATCAGCAGCAGTGCAGACAGCAGCAGCGGTGCAGGCACAGAAGGAGATAGGAGACGGGTCGTTTGACTCGCCCATTGGAGTCACGCTGAGCCAGAGCAACCCCGCTGACATCCTCCGCCCCTCCTCCGTGGAAGATTCCCTGTAAGTTCCTGCTTTGATAGCTAATGCAGGCAGCAGCAGTGCAAGCAGTACAATCAGCAGCTCTGCTGGCTGCAGCAGCAGTGCAAGCAGTACAATCAGCAGCTCTGCTGGCTGCAGCAGCAGTGCAAGCAGCAGTGCAAGCAGTACAATCAGCAGTGCAAGCAGTACAATCAGCAGTGCAAGCAGCAGTACAATCAGCAGTGCAAGCAGTACAATCAGCAGTGCAAGCAGCAGTGCAAGCAGCAGTGCAAGCAGTACAATCAGCAGTGCAAGCAGCAGTGCAATCAGCAGTGCAAGCAGCAGTGCAATCAGCAGTGCAAGCAGCAGTGCAAGCGGCAGTGCAAGCAGCAGTGCAAGCAGCAGTGCAATCAGCAGTGCAATCAGCAGTGCAATCAGCAGTGCAATCAGCAGTGCAAGCAGCAGTGCAATCAGCAGTGCAAGCAGCAGTGCAATCAGCAGTGCAATCAGCAGCAGTGCAATCAGCAGTGCAATCAGCAGCAGTGCAAGCAGCAGTGCAATCAGCAGCAGCAGTGCAATCAGCAGTGCAATCAGCAGTGCAATCAGCAGTGCAATCAGCAGTGCAAGCAGCAGTGCAATCAGCAGTGCAAGCAGCAGTGCAATCAGCAGTGCAAGCAGCAGTGCAAGCAGCAGTGCAATCAGCAGCAGCAGTGCAATCAGCAGCAGCAGTGCAATCAGCAGTGCAAGCAGCAGTGCAAGCAGCAGTGCAATCAGCAGCAGCAGTGCAATCAGCAGTGCAGGCCCAGAGCAACCCTGCTGACATCCTGTGCCCCTCCTCCATGGAAGATTCCTTGTAAGTTCCTGCTTTGGTAACCAGTACAGTACGCGGTTCCTTGAGAGGTGTTCTTCCTCCTTTGTTTCCTAACTTCGTCAGAGATGGTACCCGGTTGAACAACCCACCTCGTGTAGTGAGTCGATTTTTGAGTCGACTCAAAAATCGACCCAATTGAACAACCCACCTCCTCCATTTCTCCTTGTTTTTCAAATGCCCCCTTTTTTTCAACTCCCCTTTGTTGTACTCTCTTATTCTATACAACATCCATAAGCTAAATTCAGAGGTGCAGTCATCTCAATTATTGGGGGGGTTGTTGGGTGTACCTTCCGTCCATAACTTGTGGTTGGTAAAGATTGGTCCTGAAGCTTGGTCCTTGGTTGGCTGCCAGCTCTTGGTCATTAGCTCTACCAATCAAAACCAACACACATCTATGGTTGGTTGGGTTTCAAGCAAGCACACCCATTGGCCAATCTAGTGGCCAATAGGGTAAGTTTCCTCTCCACTCTTCACTTTGCTCCTTCATTGTAATAGGAGCCTCTTGGCTCCATAATGAAACGATATTCTTTTTAACCCCTGTTTCGTTTCGTGTGGCTCCCGCTCAGCTTCTCTGGTTACGGCACCTGCACCACTAATAGCTTCGGCATCGCTCTCGTGACCAACAAGCCAGGCGGCTACTGGAACACGGCCTTCTTTGTTCAGGTGTGTTCCTAGTCGTGTTGTTTTTGGGTTTGGGTGGGTGGCTGTGTTGCTGCTGCTGCTCTCCTCTCCCAGCCCGGGAGGCTACTGGAACACGGCCTTCTTTGTGCAGGTGTGTTGCGTCCTCTCACACTCACTCCTCACAGTTGGCTCTCATCTCACTACTGCCAGAGCATCATTGCTCAGCGTCACCTTTCCTCTCAATGCGTATTCGTTCCTAACCCACCCACACCCTCTCATTCCCCTCCTTTCCTCTCCTTTCCTCTCTCTTCCTTTCCTCTCCCCCTCTCGCTGCGATCAATTCTTTCCCTCACAGAACAATTCATTCGCAGCGGGCAGCAAGAAATTCTGGGCCACGCCAAACCCGGTGTGTCTGCTGTTTAGCATGTCGTGCCTTGTGGAGGTTTTGTGTGCGGTGAGAGGGGTTTGCATGTGGTGCAAGAGATTCTGGGCTGGGCCACGCCAAACCCGGTAGGAACCCGTGTGTCTGCCGTTTATCATGTGGTGTGAAGGTTGTTTCTTTTTGAAGCGCCTAAAAAATCGTCTCTGGGCCACGCCAAACCCGGTAGGAACCCGTGTATCAGTCGTTCATCATGTGGTGTGAAGGTTTTAGGTTGTGGTGCAAAGGCTCTAAATGTGGTGAAATTGTCTGGGATGTGGTGCAAAGGTCTATAAGTTTTCATCTAAGTTTATATGTGGTGGAAAGCTTTTATCATTTCAATGCTGGAGACCTCATCATTCGCTTCTACACTCTCAGGGCTCTCAACTCAACAGCTCTCTCCTCGGCACACCAGCGACTTCACCCGGCTCTGTTGATAGCGCGTTTCTACGCCCTCAGGGCTCTCAACTGCTCGCTCCTCTTCTCGGCACACCAGCAACTTCATCTGGCTGTGTTGGATCCATCCTTTCTATCCTCCCATCTCTCCCCTCCCAGCCTGCCACCACTCCCCCCAGGGGGGGTCTCAGAGCGCGTTTCTACGCCCTCAGGGATCTCGACGGCTCTCTCCTCTCCTTGGCACGTGCCTTCACCTGCCTCTGTTCAGATCAGACCCATCCTCTCTCTCCTTGTGTCCTTCGTCCCCTCTTGCCCCTTCCTCCCCAGCCCTCAGCCACTCCCCCCACGGGTGGTCTGATAGCGCGTTTCTACGCTCTCAGGGACCTAGACGGCTCGCTCCTCAGCACGCCCAGCGCTTACGCAGAGCTAGGTGACTCTTGAGTCGACTCAAAAGTCTCCTCCTCGGCATGCCCAGCGCTCTCGCAGAGCTCCCATCCTCCCTCTCCTCGCATCTCTCTTCCCCCTTGAACACCAGCCTGCCACCACTCCCCCCAGGGGGGGTCTGATCGCGCGTTTCTACGCTCTCAGGGATCTCGACGGCTCTCTCCTCCTCGGCACGCCCGGCACATTCGCAGTCGCCCCCTTCTCGCCCATCCTGCCACCTGCCTACCTCTCCCTCCCAACTCTCTTCCCTCCCTCCTCTCTCCTCCGGCCTCGGTTTCCAGACTTTGAATTCCTTTTCCTCCCGTCTCCATGCTCTTTCTTTCTCTCTTTCACAACCCACAGCCTGCCACCACTCTCCCCAGGGGGGGCCTCATAGCGCGGTTCTACGCTCTCAGGGACCTCGACGGTTCGCTCCTCGGCACACCAGGCGCCTTCGCAGTCGCCCCCTTCTCCCCCTCGACGGTAAGCATTGGGAGCAGTTTTTTTTTTGTTGAGAAGTGCCAGTTTGGTGACGTGTGGCAGTGCCAGTCAGTGTGCTACAGGGCAGTGGGAGTGTTTTATTACGAGCCGGGGGTGAGACCCAATGGGATGGGTGGTCTTCCTTCCAAGGTGCTCCGGCCTTACAGGTAAGCAATATTTTGCGAATGGGGGAGGGTCGTGTGTGTGCTACAGGGCAGTGGGCGTGTTTTTATTAAGAGCCGGGAGTGCGGCCTAACGGGATGGTGAATCTGCTTTTGAGACGTCTCAAAAGGCCTAACGGGATGGTAAGTCTGCCCTCCACACCATCGTTTGTGGCGTATGCTGTGGAGCGTTGTCCCCTTCTCACCCCTCCACCCCTCCACCTTTCCATCCCCCCACCCCTCCACCCCTCCACCCCACTCCTCCCCACCACCAGCTACATCAACATAACGAGGGAGGAGGATGGAGAGGCCTTCACAGCATACGGCGTGCCATTTGCACACCAGAAACACCCTCCTCACACAGTATACTTTCTACCTCCTCCTACCCCCCTTCCTCTGCACACCATCCTTCCCCTTCCCTCCCACCCACCAGCTACATCAACATAACGAGGGAGGAGGATGGGGAGACCTTCACAGCGTACGGCACGGACAACGACAACCCTGACAGCCCCCCTGATGACCCCAAGCGCTTCTCACATGCTTTTCTACCCAGAAAAACATGATTTTTGCAGCTCATTCCGGTTCCCCTCCTCTCCCCACCCACCCCACCAGCTACATCAACATCACAAGAGAAGAAGATGGGGAGACCTTCACGGCATACGGCACGGACAACGACAACCCTGACAGCCCCCCTGCTGACCCCAAGCGCACCGCCTACCGTTACGTTACCGCGTCGCTGCTCGCCGGTTACACCTATCGGTTCACAATTATCCCTGCCCCCACCAACAGCCTCTTTTACCCCGCCTGGGCTCAGGTCCGTGACTGTGACTGAGTGTGTGTGAGAGTGAGAGTTTTGAGTATACATGAAGCCAATCTGTCTTGCTTATGTTACCGCATTGCTGCTGCCTGGTTACACGTAGCGGTTCACGATATTCCCTGCCCCCACCAACAGTCTCTTTTACCCCACCTCTCTCCTCTCCTCTCCTCTCCTCTCCTCTCCTCTGCTCTCCTCTCCTCTCCTCTCCTCGGGTTGAAGATCAAGATAGGGAATATATTTTAGGCGCCTCAAGAACAATACTGTCCTCTCCTATCCTCTTCTCTCTTATCGCTGTCCGCAGCTGTGGTCGTACGACAAGGGTGGCTGTGAGGGGGGTTTGAAGATCAAGATGGTTACTAAAGATCAGAGCACCCAAACAACACTACTCTCCCCCCCTGTCCTCTTCTCTCCTGCTGCTTCGTACCACTGACTGCAGCTGTGGTCGTATGACAAGGGCGGCTGTGAGGGGGGGTTGAAGATCAAGATGGGTGCTAAAGACCAAAGCACCCAATGGTTCGCCACTGATGCTCCCAACCTGTGAGTCGTTCGGCTGTCCTGAACCTCTTCCCAACCTGAGTCTCATATCCCGAACCTCTTCCCATCCTGAGTCTCATTCACCTATCCCGAACCTCTTCCCAACGTGAGTTTTGTTCGCCTATCCCGAACCTCACGGTCATCCTCACCAGCTACAATGGGGGTGATAGGGGTGATGGGGGTGATGGGGGTGATGGGGGTGATGGGGATGATGGGGGTGATGGGGGTGATGGGGGTGATGTGATGTGATGGGGGTGATGGGGGTGATGTGATGTGATGGGGGTGATGGGGGTGATGGATGTGAGGGGGGTGATGGGGGTGATGGGGGTGATGGGGGTGATGTGATGTGATAGGGGTGATGAGGGTGATGTGATGTGATGGGGGTGATGGGGGTGATGGGGGTGATGTGGGTGATGGGGGTGGTGGGGGTGATGTGATGTGATGCGGGTGATGGGGCTGATGTGATGTGATGGGGGTGATGTGGTTGATGGGGGTGATGGGGGTGATGGGGGTGATGTGATGTGATGTGATGTGATGTGATGTGATGTGATGTGATGTGATGTGATGTGATGTGATGTGATGTGATGTGATGTGATGTGATGTGATGTGATGTGATGTGATGTGATGTGATGTGATGTGATGTGATGTGATGTGATGTGATGTGATGTGATGGGGGTGATGGGGGTGATGGGGGTGATACAACCCACTTGCCACATTGAAGCTCAACGCATCTTCCCCTCCCTCTTGCCCCCCCCTTTCCCTCTCATCCTCCCTTTCCCTTTCCTCCCTCCCATCCTGCCACCCTTTGCTCAGGAGCCCTCAAGTACAAGAACTACACAGACTATCTCTGCTCCTCCCCTTTCGCTTCCTCCCCATCCTCATCCTCCCCACGTCTCGTCCTCTGTTTCCTGTTCTCCCTCCCTTCCTGCCAGCCCGTGCTCAGGAGCCCTCAAGTACAAGACCTACCAAGAGTATCTCTGCCCCTCCTCCTCTTCCTCCTCCTCCCCGCCTCTCCTGCAACTCACGGTTGGCCCCACCAGCTACGGCGCACTCGCCACTATGAAGCTCAACGCCTCCTCGCCCTCCTCTTGCTCTGCGTAAGTCCCGCCCTCCCTCCCTTGTTCGAGCTCCCTTCTTGTCGTTAGTGTTGCTCTCCTGCAACTCACAGTCGGCCCCACCAGCTACATCGCACTCGCCACAATGACGCTCAACGCCTCCTCGCCCTCCTCTTGCTCACCGTATGTCACGAGTCGTGCCACCTCTTCCCTCACACGCACCTCTACTGTCATGCCACGCCCCGCTTCCCTCACACGCACCTCTACTGTCATGCCACGCCCCTCTTCCCTCACACGCACCTCTACTGTCATGCCACGCCCCTCTTCCCTCACACGCACCTCTACTGTCATGCCACGCCCCTCTTCCCTCTCACGTGCTCCTGTTGTCATGCCTTGCCATGTCATGACTCATGCCACACCCCTCTTCCCTCTCAGATTATTCTTTGTTTTTTCGATGCCTCTTGCCCATTCGCTGAACCCCGCTGCCATGTCTCTGATTCTTCTTTATTGTTAAAATCGGCCCCGTTTGATTAAGGTTTCGTATGCCCTTGTTATGTTTTGAGACACCTCTTTCAACATTTTGAATCTCTCAAAATCCCGTTTGCCTAACTTTTCCTATGCCCTTCGAATATGTACCATACTTTGTGGTTCTCTTAATGGTTTTCCTCCAATATCTCTGTACGCGTTAAGCTTTGACTCTTGCCTCCACTCCCTTTGCGTGCCTTCTGTGGTTTCATGGCATGGCAGCACATGTGCATGATGTGAAGATCCGTCACTCACCATTATATTATATCCACAAGTGTATGGTGGTGGTAGGAATTTATACAGTAGGAAGTTTCACCTTTGCAAATGTAGAGCCCTCAGTTTTGAGGGGGTTCAAAGCAGGGCTCTTGCTAGGATTTAGGCCTGTCTGAAAAAAAAAAAAAAAAAAAAAAAAAAAATCAGATGGGCAGTTTTTTTTTGTCTGAATTTTCAGACGAATGCTGAAGCTTTGTCTGAATTTTCAGATGATTTGTTTTGGATGGTCTGATTCAGCCAATTACCTATACTGTATTCTATGTACATGTGAATACGCAGCCTGGTGGCGCCGAAGGCCCGCTAGGACACAAGTCACGTGGCGAGAGGGACTGACTGGGCTGGGAGAGGCGGGGGAGAGTTGGGCTGCGAGGACCACTGTTGAATGTGTGTGACGCGACGGACCAGGGGGAATGGACAGGGGCGAGGGACTGCGGGGGGAGGGGGTGAAGGGGCGGCTTTACTGGTAGAGGAGCGAGGGACTGCGGGGTGCTGGACTAGACTGCTAAATCAGCGAGGGACTGCTGAGGCGGGGGATCAGTAAAATGTTGGGGGGGAGGGGCGAGGGGGCGGGGAGGGGGGGGGGGGGGGGGGGGGGGTTGGAATTCGATACTTGGTCGGTATCAGATGAAAGTATACTCGATGTCTGAAATCTCAGACGAAGTATAACGCGTTGTCTTATTTTTCAGAGGAAATAAAAGTCTTCGTCTTACGGTTCAGATGAAAATAAAATGCTGGTCTCGAAAATCAGATGAAACGAAAAAAGTAGGTCTGATTTTCAGACCATCAGACCAATTTGGTATGATAACCAGAGCCCTGGTTCAAATTAGTAGTATCAATATGGAGGAAGTCCGGATCCATAGTGTAGAGAATGCTTCACTATCATCAATTTGTCATCTTGTTTCTATACTTACAGGGTCAATCACCAATCTGAACGGGTCGTATTGTTGTGTTGACTCCATGTGCATGTCAACATTCTACCTTGTTATTCTGATACCGTACATGCTGTAAGACAAGGTTGTTTTTACAGAGATATGAAGGTGTAGCAGATTCTAAAAACATGTTCGAACTGTAAAGCGCATGAATCGAAGTGTGCCAGCAAGTGTAATTGTGGACAGCATCCTTGACGAGTTGGGATACGAATCTTGCTGGTGTCAGACATCACAGCGCGTACGACATGTCAGGCATCACAGTTTCGTCTCGATCCATCTTTTCAAGTCGTTTCCAGATTGCTCTGACCATCTGGATACCTGAGAAACATTTCATTTCCACATACAGTGGTCAGGTTAGGAAGCTATTCATCAATCATAAGCCTTTTTATGGTTGTGCTTTTCTGTCACGGTTTTGTTTACTGTACAAGTTCGTTTTGTTTGCCCTGAGCGCAGTTATGACAGTACATACACCTATCTTTTTGGACCGCTATGCGGTAAATTTTTGTTAGTTTTACTGGAGCTCAGGAGCTGCTATCATTGGTCACATCGTTTCACGCTGGTAGGCAGCCGTGTTTGATTCAAATTGGCATATTCAGTCAGACAGACAAATCGAGCCATCATAAACAGAGCTGTCGAAGTCCCTGGGACCAAAACTTTGAGTCCTGAGGTGCTCAAATTCTGGCCCTGATTTTCACGGGCGCAGGCCAAAATCAAGGCTTAAAATACGGGCTTCTAAGGAAAGTCACTTTTCCCAAGGAGGACGTGCCTTCTACTTAGCAGAGGGAGGTGCATACCCAGCGCTCAACAATCTTACAGCCTCTACATCGTGGGTTAAAAAAATGGGAGGGAAGGGGTTCGTAGGCATAGTCATGGAGGGGGTGGGGGGGCAGCTTCGGGATGGGGGGTGGGGGGTGGGGGGGTGTGCTCAACACAGAAACCAAAACTTGGATTCAGGGGAAGGCCCAAACAAGGCCCTTAACTGTCACGGGTGCCATGCCATTCTAGTACTTTAAACGGTCGAGATTCTCCAAGCGTAACCCGGAATGTTCAGGGCATTAAGGCCAAATGGCCTTGCTTCTCCAGCCCTGATCATAAACCGTGATTTCTAAAAATTTCAACCTGGGATGTTGAAAACCAGAGCCACTCTCTTGCATGAGTGACTAACAAGGCCGAAATATCTCCTCCCCCCCCCGCCCCATTTCCCCCCACCCTCCCTCCACAATCCACACCACACCACACACAAGGCACCACCACCGTGCTTCCCCCCCCCTCCGGGCAAGGCTCGTATCTATTGGTCGATTTCTCGAATTCCCGCTCCCCTTCTTTCCCACTCCCCCATCCTTCCGCTCATATCTTTGTACCACTTCTCACGAATGTCGTCACACATTTCACCCCCAACTGCGGCATGTTCATCCCCCTTTCTTTCCCTTCCCATCACATTGCAGCACATGCAAGCTCCTGAACCGGATTTTTTCTAATTGGATGGTAGAGAGCTCCTGGCATCCCTGATTTGCACCTTAGCTGCAGCCACCGCCCAACACCTCAGGCCTGTCAGATGTACGGAACCGCTGAATCCCAGTAGCGTAGGATTCCCCCTGTCATTCTTCTTGTCTCCTCTGCTCTCGTCGGTGTATTACAGTGTTCGACAGCCAGGCCGGAATCATGGGATTTCTCCTAGTACCCACGAAAAGATCGCCGGAAAAGCTGGACGAGACGGAAAGCTCTTGGAAATCTCTTCGCAGGAAGGCCCTGGACGAGACTAGAGCCAGGTGGCGGGGCGTGCGCAGCCAAGGCTTGCAGGCGGGGCAGCCAATGGCGGCAGCCAGGATGTCAGAGTTGCTTATCAGCTAATGAAAAAAAAGCAAAAGGCAACTCAAGTTGCACGTGAGGTGAATCTGCATGCACGTGATCGCCGCAATACATTGCAGCCCCGTTACAAAAGCTCGAGCAGCGGGGAAATGATCCCGCTGCAGCCGAAAGTCCGGACCGCCTGTTCGACTTGGAAGGCCTGTCCTCCCGGCCTCCCCCCCGCACCCGCCACCCATACGCTCTTGCCGACTACGCGGGTTACGATAACTAGTACTACCAGTGGAGTACTAATATTACCAGTGGCGCCTCCGAATGCAGAGGCTCTCGCCCCCGGTCGCTGCTCTTCTCGCCCCTTCCGCTTCTCCGTGATTTGTCAACGACAACTTGAAGGAGAGCAACACCGTGTTGTGATTTGTGAGAGCCCGTACTAGGCCCGAAATTCGTCGCAAGAATGGAGGGGAGCCCGAGAGGTTTCGGACAGTGGTGGTCGCCGTCGTCGTCGGCGGCGGGGCTACTAGAGCCGGTTGAAGCAAGAAATGAGTCGCAGCGGTCGCGGAGATCGCGACTTTCTCTAGCGAACACCACGGAGTCGCCGGGGCGATCGTCGTCGCATCATGATCCTGCCGTCTTGTCCGGCTTGGAAAGCATCTTGACTCGGTTTCCGTCGCTGCCACGTGGCGGCAGCAGCACGGTAGCGGGAGCGCCGCCGCCGCCGGCGCCGCCGCAGCAGCAGCAGAGCGAGTATTTGGAAGACGAACCACACCAGATGATGCATACGACTCGTATGATGATGACAACGACGGCATTTGACGATGCCGCCGCAGCGGCAGCAGGCGGCGACGGCGCTGGCGGCGGCGGCCCCGGGGGCGCCGGTAGTAGCATCCGCGCTTTGGATCATGTCGAGCCAGCCAGGCTTGGAAGAGATTCTCTCGCAAGTGGGCGGCGTCGCGCGGCAGCAATGGCGGTGGCAGCACAGACGTCACCAGCAGCGCCGCCGCCGGGAGCCTCACAAGCGTCGACCCCAGCACTACCTTCAGCAGCACAACTGTCGGAAGCCGCCGCGACCGCCTCTGCGGCTGCCGCTCCAGACGTGGCGCTAATAGGCGGCGAGAGAGAAGACGGCGGCATTTTGGAGTGGCTTCAGGCCGTCATGATGGGCGAGTCAGAGTCACACGCAGTCACAGGAGGCGTCAACTCTACCGGACCCCGACCAACCGAGACCGGCCGTCCTGCCGGCCATCCTGCAGACCGTACCGACCATCCTAGCACCACTGCTGGCTGCGCCGCTACAGCCTTTGCTACAGTCGAGTGTTTTAGAGGCTTTAACGGCATGGAGAGAATGCAGATGATGGCTTCTTACATGGCTGCTATCGCTGAGGAGGAGGGAGATGAGGAGGGAGAGGAGGAGGGAGAGGAGGGGGATGGGTCGGGAGAGGGCAGGGGGGACGCCCATATGAAGGAGAGTGGAGACGGAGGGGAGCACATCACGGAGACCTCGGTAATGACAGGCGCATGTGATGGAAGAGCAATGGTATGGACGGCAGCTGATGCTCCCGCTGCTTCTTTCCTTGAAGGACGAGGGGTTCCTAGAAACATGGAAGCAGGTCACAGTGTTGCTCGCACTGGTGGTACAGGTGGTGGCACTGGTGGTGCTGCTGCTGCTGCTGGTGGGAGTGGTTGTGGTGGCACTGGTGGTGTTGGTGCTGCTGCTGGTGGTGGGAGTGGTGGTGCTGCTGATGGTGGTAGTGGTGGCAGAGGTGGTGGTGCTGGCACCGATGGTTCTGGCGGTGCTGCTGCTACTGCTGCTGCTGCTGCTGCTGCTGCTGCTGCTGCTGCTGCTGCTGCTGCTGCTGCTGCTGCTGCTGCTGCTGCTGCTGCTGCTGCTGCTGCTGCTGCTGCTGCTGCTGCTGCTGGCAGCGTTGGTGCTGACGCTGGTTGTGCAGGTACTGGTGGGCGGCACAGGCAGCGGCAGCAGGCGACCATCAAGCCAAGGTCAATGAGAGAGCGGCGCAGGAGAGAACGCATAAGGTAATTGTTTCTGCTGGCAGCTTGTTTCCCCTCTGGTTTATGCTGCCTGCCTCACCAGCACATCTGAATGCACATGACACCTGATTTCCGTTCCTCTCTCAAACGGTCTCTCTGTCCCTCTCTCTGTCTCTCTGTCCCTCTCTCTGTCTCTCTGTCCCTCTCTCTGTCTCTCTGTCCCTCTATCTGTCTCTCTGTCCCTCTCTCTGTCTCTCTGTCCCTCTCTCTGTCTCTCTGTCCCTCTCTCTGTCCTTCTGTTGCTGGTTCAACACTCCCCGGGAGCAGCGAGTCGCTGGGACGGTTAAGGATGACTGTGCCTCTGGACATCCTGGGGCCGCACCAAGATCTGGGGTCCATGATCGAAGGAGCCGTCAATTACATTCAAATCATGCAGGTACGCTTGCTGTTTACTGCTTGCAGGTACGCTTGCTGTTTAATGCATGCAGGTACATTTGCTGTTTAATGCATGCAGGTACACTTGCTGTTTAATGCATGCAGGTACACTTGCTGTTTAATGCATGCAGGTACACTTGCTGTTTAATGCACGCAGGTACACTTGCTTTTTAATGCATGCAGGTACGCTTGCTGTTTAATGCATGCAGGTACACTTGCTGTTTAATGCATGCAGGTACACTTGCTGTTTAATGCATGCAGGTACACTTGCTGTTTAATGCATGCAAGTACACTTGCTGTTTACTGCATGCAGGTCATTTGAAACGTCTCAAAACGGCGCACGATCAAAGGTGTGGCCAATCAGCCAGGTCATGCAGGCATGTATTCTTAGTGTTAATGCATGTAGCTGGTATATAACTACGAGCTATTCAATGCTGGTACGGTACATTCTGGTTTCGAAAGTGGTGCATCTTCACTAGTGAAGGCATTCTGGGTGCTGTTGCTGTAATTTCGATCGCTTGCACATGCCAATTCAGGTGCGCGTGTCGGAGTTGCAGCAGAGAGTACTGGAAGGGGAAATAAGAGCAAGGCTGAACAGGTAGATCTGCAGTGGCTTATACCGTGTGTCTATATGTGCGCTCCTGTCATTCTCCTTCCCTCCAGGTGCGCGTGTCGGAGTTGCAGCAGAGAGTAGTGGAAGGCGAGATACGAGCACGGCTGAACAGCCAACGGTAATTTTGAGTCGACTAAGAAATCGCCTCCGGCTATTGTCACACGAGCCTGTCGGAGTTGAAGCAGAGGTTACTGGAAGGGGATATGCGGGCAAGGCCAAAGTGTGTCCCTGAGCTCATGGCTTTAGGCCAACATGTAATTTAATACAGTTGCTCTATGGGGGTGTATATATTAATGCAAAGAAGCATTCTGGGGTGATTTCTGTGTCAAATCAGATGTCACCTTGGTTCCTCTTACTGTATTTCCATGTAGCCAGGCCCCACGATATCAGGGTAAAACATCCTGATTACCCTGATTTCGGGATAGTGTCAGGTGTTTTCCCTGCAATTTCAGGATGATGGTATATTTTACCCTGTCACTTCAGGATATTTTTTGTGTTGAGCCCTGAAATTTCATGAAGGGGGTGGGGGGGTGTGTGTACTGGTTTTGTCTCCTCCCTAGGATTTCGCCACTTCCTCGTCGTACCGTACCATGCATGCACCGGGCTTCCGAGTCATATCTTGCCTTCCCCTCCACCTCTCTCATGTCTTGTGATTTTGTTGCCCTGAAATACCAGGATGAAATTAACTCATGTAGGTGCCCTGAAAGTTCAGGATAGCCATAAAAAACTGCCCTGAAAAATCAGGGCATTCTTGAGAAAATTAAAAAGTTGCCCTGAGGGCTCAGGATGGCCGAAATCTTAGCACAGGCCATGCATGTAACCACCACAAGGGCATCCTTGATTTTTGTTACGAGTGCAATTGAGTGATAGAGCGAGGATTGCACTATCGAAACAAGAATGCAATGAGCGAAGGATTGATCGAAGAATATATAGCGAAGCTACGGTGGTAACGTCTTGTGATTTTGTTGCCCTGAAATACCAGGATGAAATTAACTCATGTAGGTGCCCTGAAAGTTCAGGATAGCCATAAAAAATTGCCCTGAAAAATCAGGGCATTCTTGAGAAAATTAAAAAGTTGCCCTGAGGGCTCAGGATGGCCGAAATCTTAGCACAGGCCATGCATGTAACCACCACAAGGGCATCCTTGATTTTTGTTACGAGTGCAATTGAGTGATAGAGCGAGGATTGCACTATCGAAACAAGAATGCAATGAGCGAAGGATTGATCGAAGAATATATAGCGAAGCTACGGTGGTAACGGTAACGTGTGAAAATGGGGTGCGCGACGGGCCTGGTGCCGAGGTTGGGGACTGTCGAGGCGGAGGTCCGGAGCGCGGGTTACCAACCGAACCGTGAGGTTGGGTCGCATCGTGAACAGTGGCGGGAATGGTGTCGAGGCGAATGTCGCGAGTGGTAACGGAATATTGTGGGGTGCTGTTGCCGGGAACAGTGGTGTACGCGCTGAGCAGGGACGCGAAGTAAGGAAAAGGATTTTTCCATACAATTTTGCAATATTGATGTTTTTATACAACAACGTTTAATCCTCCTATTTGTTGCATCTGAAGCCGTGGTTTCTAGGTTGAGGCTCCTCCCCCAAATCCCCAAATCTAGCTGGGAATTTTGTTTTTTGCCGGTTCATTTAGTTGTCCATTCGCTTCATTCCCCTCCCCGCCCTCCTGCATTGCTGTCCCGTACCCTTCATGCACCCTTCTCTAATTCCGGGAACAACCTGAACTTGAGTTGGGAATTACAGCTGTACGAACTGTGTACTGTATATAGAGCTTTGTACAGTTCACATGGAACAGAATCCTTGACTCTAGTGTGGATACGATGCCCCCCCAGCGTCACACAGCTCATACAATTTGCTCGTCTGATCTGTATCGGGATTCGGGAGGACAACATCACTCCAGACATCCCTCCCAAACCAAACCTGTTGACGGATACAGCTACAAATTACCCCAAATGTTGGGGAGCAATGGGCTTAGGACGTGTCACGGTTTGCCTCTGATCGGCTGTGATCTGGTCGGGGATGATCTGATCGGGATGCCCTCGATTACTGTGCTCGCGCCGCCCAATCAGATAAGAAAATCCTCGAATATTCTATGAGGGTCCATGGCAAGCGTGTTACCCTTTCCAAACACTTTCGCGCCCACTTTGGCGAGGGCGAAGTCCTCAACCTGGATCTAGCGAATTTTATTGCTTTTCTGCACTTTCGTGTTAACAGATGCCCAGAAACACTGCAGAGCAGGTTAGAATGTTCTCGCCAGGGTGGTTGTTTGAGCGAAAGCTTCACGAAAATTAGTACAACACCGTAACTTTTCGCTATCGTCGCTTGGTACCCCAAGCCAATGCAATCAACTGATCGTCGGTGATTGTGTGGGGTTGTGTTTGATTGGGCTGATTTAAGCGGTTTATCGAGTTGGACGATCCACTGATCGCGCTCAAGTGATTGCCCCCGATTGCCTGAAATCGCTAAACTAGCTTCCAGGAAGTTAGCGATCGACTTTGATCGGGGCAATCAGAGATGAACTGTGACACAGCCTTAGCCCAACAAGGACATTTCGCCAAGACGAACTCACTACGGGCAGGATATGTCTATTGATTGGGAAACTTCGAACTTCTCAGTGTAGGAACTGCCCACGTACGTTCAGAGCGTTTACCATTCTCATTCGATTACAATTGATGCCTGTTTGAGCCCCTCCCGGTTGCCTTGTGAAGGGGGCGTATAAGCTGTATCGTGCATTTCGCATAATTTTCGTCAATTCGCAGCTAGCTAAAAAGGATTCGCAGGTGCTTATATTAAGTATCTGTAACCTTATCCGTTGACATTTTGACTTCAATCTCTTCATTTTGACTTCGGTCTGTTCGCTACTATTGGTCCATAACCACGCGACGCGCTTGTATCGTGGGTGCAACAGGCTGGGGAAAAGACCTCGGGTGCAGCGTTTCCATCCGGTGCGGGGCAAATTCGCGTGTATTTTTCAAATGTTACACGCCCATGCTCTGCTCCCTCCTCCGTGTTGGTTGGGTGGAATGGAACCCTGAAACGCTAGAGTGGCTTTTACGAAGAGGGTCCGTTCGTTCCATTCAGTTCCGAACATCCCAGCGCAAATCGGTCGTCGGAACCGATTTGCCAGTGTCGTCAGAGGGGGTTGTCGGAGCCGGGCCCGACGAGGCGGGCAACTGACGCGCGTGCGGCCCGCCAGCCTGGCCCAGGGCCGGGCCGAGCGCACGACCGCCGCCCCGCAACCCCCCTGCATGATTGAACATCGCCCGACGTTACCGGGTGGGGGCGGCGAGCTGGCGAGCCCTCGCGCGAGGGAAAGTAACCCTCGCGCGAAGGCAGCCCTCCCGTGCCCGCTGCCCGCGACGTCCTAGTGACCCTCGCGACCTGCCCGGACGGGCAGGCGAGGGCCATGCGAAATTCGGGTGCTCCCCTCGGGAAGCTCGACGATTTCGCGACCCGTTGCGGTGACGCCGCGTGCTCGCACGCGGGTTCGCATCGGGTGCATGCGAAATTTCGAGCCCGGCGAAATCGGTTCGCTCGCATCGCGGCGCGGGGTTTTCGCGATCCGGGGCGAAGTCGACACGTGTCGGCCGAAACGAGGCACCGCGCGCATGCGAAATTGCGTCCCCTCGCCGAGCGAAGCCGAGGGACGCGAAGTCGACGTGCTGGCTCGGCGGCGAAGGAGCGCTTGTGCATGCAGCCCGCCAAACCCTGCCGAGCCAGGCACCACGAACCCTGGGCGATGCCTCAACCGGCCTGTGGGGCACCGACTCCCTTTCCTTGGCGGAAGGAGGCATCGCTCCTCATTTTCGGCATCTCGTTTCACTTTCAACATTACTCCCACATTCTCGTCCCTTCTTAGCCTGCAGTCAATTCCCTTCAACGCAATGGAGGCCGACCCGAAAGCCGGCGAAGCGGCGCCGACCGTGCACGACTTCCCTCTGTATCTCGACCTCGGTAGTGGACTCACTGCCAAGCTCGAGGAACACGACTACGCCGTCCTCGTAGACCATAGGCTAGAGTTCAACGCCCGTTGCTTGGGATTCGGCATCGAGTGAGTTTGCGTATGTGGATGTCGGCGTCGACATCTTCTTACATTGCTGGTCGACGCAGCGTCGGTGTTAGGGTTGTCCCACGTCGGAGGCGGCGCTACGAGTTCACGTCGACGCCGACAGTAGGTCGGTGTCGGCACAGGCATTAGGCACGCATCGGTCGGCTCAATTGATTACAACGACGCGAGGGTGGTGCACCGTCGTACGATTGCCATCCCCGTCGGTCGGCGGTTCCTAAACCAACGTATCCACCGTCGTGTCGTGCACATACTCACTCACTCCTTATTCCCATGCATGCGTGCAGGCACGCATGGACTCGCGCGGCGCCGGCCAACATGCGATTGTGGTCGATAGGACTCGGCCGGCTTCGGGCGGCGATGGGTCGGGCGGACCACACATGCTTTGCGACGATTTTCGACGCCGACGTAGCGGTTATCCCCTTGACTTCGAGGTGAGCTGGTTAGAAGTCGTCACGATGTGTGTTGCATCCTATGTCGGTGCTCTGTTCTGAACGACGTCGTCGTGCCTTGCCTGTGCAGCATCGCACCGCTTCCAGGAGCACATTGCAGCATCGTTGTCATCCTGTACCCCGGCGACCTGTTGAAGGGTGGGGGGGAGAAGATCAGGACCTCGATCCGGCACTTTGACCCGCAGACCGTGAAGCAGTGGCACCGCGACGAGGCGATCCGCGTGCTGAAGTGAGCTCGATAGTGTAGTCGACGACGCATGCAATTTCGCCGCGCAGCGTAAACCATGCTTACCGACAATCTGTGCCATGTTGCTTCAGGTTTTTCCGGGTGGCGGTCCTGGCCGAGCTTGGGTGCGATGGTAGGAAGTGGGAGTGGGCGAAGCCTTCCGATGAAGAGGTGGAGGACAGGCTCGCCGACTGCGATCAACCCGTTCGAGATGTGAGTTCCGAACGATTCACCGTCCTATGTCATCCTTGCGCGATGCGATTGCCGAACGCGGTGCTCATCCTTGCGCTCTGAACTGTTGTATGCAGAAAGTGCCCGACGCCGTCCGGGACGGGGACGCGGGCTCCGGCCTGCTAGCAATGAGCGCGTTGTGCTGGGTGGTGAGGAGGATGGATCTCCTGACCGGCGCCATCCGTCGCAGTGAGACCAGCATGGACAAGGTCAACGTTTCGGGGTTGAAGGGGCTGCGGAATGGGATGATAACATTCGTCAAGGAGCACGTCGCTCTCAAACGGTCGGGCCATGTCGGAGTTGCTGCCGACGCCTGTGACGACGACGGCGAGGAGGCCCCTTTGGCATCCACAGCAATAGGTGTCGCCTACACCGTCGATGATGCGCGTGGGACTTCGATCGGAGAGCCCGGAGGCGGCGTCGACAAGGAAGATGAGGAGGCGGGAAGGGCGGTGACTGGGACCGCGGAGAAGAACCAGGAGGATAACGAGGATCAGGAAGAGGACCATGAGGATCGTGAGGAGGAGGAGGAGGAGGAGGAGGAGGAGGAGGAGGAGGAGGAGGAGGAGGAGGAGGAGGAGGAGGAGGAGGAGGACGACGACGACGACGACGAGGAGGAGGAGGAGGAGGCGGAGGAGGCGGAGAAGCAGCAAGAGGGGGAGCAGGAGGAAGAGGTCGAGTGGGAGTTGGAGGAAATGGAGGTGGAGTACGTAGAGGGAGCGGCGGAAACGGCTGGGAGGTCGGCAGATGTTGTGAACAAGGGAGGGGAGGATGCCGACGAGGAGAAAGTCGGCGTGGAGGAGGCTCACGGGGGGGGTGAGAAGGTCGTGGTCGGCGATGTGGATGGCGACGCGAAGGAAGTTATCGACCTCGAGGTCGTTGGAGAAGGGGATAACGCCGCGGCCACGAAGCAGACGGGCGTGGAAGCGCCTACCGAGACCACCGCAGGGAAGGCCGGGGGGGAGCGGTCTAGGGTGAAGAAGGCGGCGCGCGGTCATCCCGGTTCCTCCGCATCTGGTCGGCAGGCACCGCTGGACGTCGTCGAGCAGCTGCGACAGGAGAACAGGCGATTGACGGCAGAAAATGCCCGTATGGAGAAGGCGCTCGAAGATGAAAGGGGTCGGGTGGACAGGTTTGTGTTGGGGATGCGGGGACTCCTCGACAAGCTCCAGTCGTTGGCCGACCAGGTCGCCGTCTCCGACCATAATGCGGCGAAACGGCTGCTAGATGCGACGTCGGCCGTGTCGACAACCATCACGGACAACATCACCAACCACATGGACGAATCGTGGAAGGCGATGAAGTCCTTCGCCGAAAAGGCGTCGACGTGGTTGGCGGAAATCGACGGTCCGGAGGGAAGTATGGCAGTTGAACGCGCAAAAGCGGTCGCCACCTTGGGCAACCACGTGGAAGCGGTGGTGGACGATGCAAAGCTGGGTTTGGAGGACTTCATCTCGAAGCACCTAGCCGCCGCGCAGGCCAACATTGCCGCCGCGGTAACTCGCACCATCGCCGTGCCGCCGCCGCCCCCGCCGCAGCCCACGCCAGCCTTCCCGGACGAGCTCATGAAGTCGTTCAAGGCGGACGTGTTGAAGGCGGTGACGGAGGCCACCCAGCAGTCGTTTGTTGCGTCCGGGTTAAAGCTCATGACCGAGGTGATCGGCAATGTGGCGGCTGGTCGGCGTGCGTCGTCGCCATCGGCCAATGACGCCGATCCCGCGCAACGAAGGGAGGCCGACAAGCAGGGCCGGAAAAGGGCGGGCGGCGGAGATGATGCAGGGAGCGTGAAGCGGAGCAAGGGAGCCGATGGAGGCCGCGGCGTCGGCGCGGTGGGTCCAGGCGGCTCGCGGACTCGAGGTCAGAGCGTGGCCGACCAGCTCAAGAAGAACGGGGCCAAGGTGATAAGGTCGCACAGCAAGGGCAATGGAATCGGGAGTGCAGATGGGGGCCATGCCGACGAGGTTGCCGCACAAGACGGCGGGAAAGGCTTGAGCGACAAGGAGATCCCAACCGCTCAAACGGCGATAGATGGCGGCGCCAGAACCGTCAAGGGACCGTCTGTCGGGGTCGCGGGGACCACGTCGATTCCCCGAAAACCCCATGCGGCTAGCAGCGCGCCGGTCGGCCCGTCAGCCGCCAACAACGATGGGCCGGCCCTTGTGGCTACTCCAGCTGCAGTGGGCCCGTCTGCCGCCAAGGGCGACGCGAAGGATGCTGCGGCTAACCGCGACGGTCCGTCCGCCTCTAAGGTGCCCGCAGCGGCGAACGCGCTCAGGGAAATGCTCCACCGCATGGAGGCCCATCGCAAGGACGTGCAGCAGCCTCCCTTGGTCGATGCCGCCCCCGCCGAAGCAGCACGTCGCACGGTCACTCCGCAGGTCGCCGCCACAACGCCCAGTGCCCCACATACCGCGCCTCTGGTCGCCGCCCATCCTACTGCGGACCCAAAGTCTGCATTGCTTCGCGCTCGGTTAGGCGCACGTAGTGCGGCAGCGCCAGCATAGACTCGGCCGGAAGCCGGCTCAAGCGCGACGCCGACGTCGGTAAACGAGGCGGCGGAGAAGGGCGTGAGGGCAGCGCTAGCCACCGGCGGCGGAGCCGTTGACCATGCACAGGCATCGATAGGCCACAACGACGCCGACATCGCTGCCATCCAGAACCTGTTGGAATCGGTAAAACGCCCCGGGCACCCCGCTGCTCTGGCCATCTCGGACACGGCGCATGTGGAGCCCTTGGCGAATCCCCCCGCTGGTTCAGCGGAGCCAAAGACGACCACTGATGCTGTCGGCGATGGAGAGTCGAAACGGAAGGGGAAGGCCGACACAGTGAAAGGGAGGGCGAGCTCTCAGAGGAAAACACGGGCGATGTCGGCCGAGACAGGGAGGGATAAGGCGAAGGAGAAGTCGGTGGAGAAAGGGAAGGAGAAGGCGGAGGAGAAGGAGAAGGAGGAGAAGGAGAAGGAGAAGGAGAAGGAGAAGGCGGCGGAGAAGGAGAAGGAGAAGGCGGCGGAGAAGGAGAAGGAGAAGGCGGCGGAGAAGGAGAAGGAGAAGGAGAAGGAGAAGGAGAAGGAGAAGGAGGAGAAGGAGAAGGAGAAGGAGAAAGGACGGAAGGGTCATGGCATCCGCCACGACAACTCGGGCGACGGTCTTGGGTGGGTGGGCGAGATTAAGGTGCTCGGCGCTAATTGATACATCGGCAAATCGCGCGAGAAGATGGAGCTGGCGTACTTGCACTCGATTGCGTACATCGTCTACGATGGCTACGTCAGCAAGGTCCTCATGGCCGAGCTCACCGGCTTGGAGGAAACCGAGTTGGAGAAGTGGAGGATGGTGTGGGAGGAGGTCAAGATTTTGCCGACAGGGATGTGGACGGTGATATGGGCACGGGGCGCGTACCTTCCAAAAACACGGTAAGTCGGATACCCTTTCGGCCGAGTGTTGATGACGATGTCGGAGTCACTAATGGTCGTTCGGTTTCATGTGATTGTGTGACAGGTTCGATGACATTCTCGGCCAGTATCGAGCGTACAAGAGCTCAGGCGATGCGCACCACGACGCGCTCTTGCCGGCGATCTGGTTCCCCGTCGATGCCGTCACAAAGGAAGGCCAGGAGAAGTCGGATGCTATGATGTCGGCCATGATAGGTCGCGTGTCCATGTGCGCTGCGTATGGGAAGGTCGCTGCGAGCGCGGCGAGGAAGGAGGGAGACACTGATGAGAAGACGGCGATGGCGGCACAGGCGTTATCGGCCTCCGCTTGCGCCGTGTGGTGCTTAGTCGAGAACGACGACGCCCAGGTGGTCGATGCTGTGGGCAAAGGGAAGGCGGCGGCGATGGTGGTCGGTGCGAGCGAGAAGACCGCCGGTGTCTTCAAGGAGGTCATGCAGGCGGTGCTGGAGGCCGAGATCGACCGGGAGCAACCCCTGGGGGAGGTTGCGCACAACGTCGCGCCGGCGCTGCAGAGTCTCGCTCTGCACCGGGTCTACCCGGGGGTGGATCATGAAGTCGAAGCCGACGTGATTGCTAGAGTGACAGTGGAGACATTGGCGTTCTGGGGAATGTGCCCCGTCGCCGGGCCGAAACTCGAAAATATCGGCATCGCGGTGCCGTGTGACGCGCAGATGGAGTACGACATTGAACACAGGGGGAGGAAGGGGCAGAGAGGCAAGCAGGGCAAGGACAGCACGGGGAAGAAGGGGAAGAAGGGCAAGAAGGGCAAGGACAGCACGGCGGCGTAGTCGGCGCGCGGAGGGAGCGCGAGGTGGTCTGATTGCTAGTGTGTTTGTAACCTTTTTAGTGTTTGTAACTTTTTGTTTGTGTTTGCTTATGTGGTAGCGCATGTAACTTTTTGGTAGTGCATGACATGTAGAACCCTCGTCGGAGATGTCGACCTGATCGCTACCCTCTGAATTGCACACTCAAATGCTACTCGGGGATGAATTTTTGTCGGCGTATATGTCGGAGTCCGAAAATACGTCGGCGTCGTTGGATGTCTGTCGACATAGACGGTTCGGCTATCTGCAAGTATTTTCGGGGTGTTTGTTGGTCGGCGACCGACTGCAGTTACCATTGTTGGATCATCTATGTTCGCATGGGCATTGTTGTATGACCATCGTTTACCAACTTCATGAACAAAATAAGCATCATGGTTTGGTGCAATCGACCACAATTACAGCATCATCAAACTACGCGCACGCATATGCTCCGAAGGTACTCATGCCGCCTTCTTGCGCTTCGTCGGAGGACGCAGCACAGGTGCGGTCTGCTTGGCCATGTCCGCCACGGTCTTCGGCATCTGCTCCTCCCAGGTGTCTGGAAACAGGACGGCGACCCAAGCGGTCGGCTTCAAGTTGACCGCCACCAGCGCACAGGCGAGACGTAGCTTCGAGACCGACTTGGGGCCCAGCCCCTTGACTCCCATGCCGGGCTCCTTGGACTTCGTCGGTGCGGTTCCCGGTTTGAGCACCGTGAGGGCATCGCAGAAGGTCCCGATGCCCGGCGCCGCGATCTTGTTCAGGGCAGCGACGACGGCTTCGGTGTCGGCATCGCCGTCGCTCGAGCGAAGAAGGCGCACCGCATCCATGGCCTTCAGCATGCGGCGCACCTTCATGTCGTGTGCACCCTTCGTCGCGCCTTTGAGGAGGGTGTGGCGGTCGACGAATCCCGGCTCGGCGACCCTATCGCAAAGACGGCGGGTGTCATCGGCGGTGGCGGAGTTCCAGAGGCGCCAAGCGTCCCTCACGGTCTTTGACTCCCGCCAAGGTTGCACCACGTTGAGCTCGTAACGAGCCTCGTCGAGCGTCTGTGGGGGTTTCTCGTACCGTTTCTTGTTTCTGGCCCCCGGACTGGCCGAATCCGCGGAGCCACTCTCGCTCGGCGTCTGCTCGTTCCCCGACGGCGGCGTCTCCGGCATCCTCCGTGCTTCTGACACACGGAGTGCCTCGGTGAGACGGGTTATCTCGGCGGTCAGCGTCGCGATGGTATCGTCGCGCTTCTCGAGTTCATCCTGAAGGTCGATCTTCTCGACCGCGGCGCGCTCCCTCTCGTACTTCAGCATCTCCTTGAGGGACATGTTATGGTATTCGATGTCCAAGCGAACGGAGATTTCCTGCAGCACAAGGCGGAAAGGTGAAAATTGTATAGAATACACCCGTAACAGATAGGGTCTCGGCGACGCCGACTTTAGCGACGGTTTACCTCTGCCTGAATGAGGGTTGGGTCCCGGCGTTTGTTGATCGTTTCGGTGTCGATCTTCTCGACCCTTTTCGCCCAGTGCTGAAAGAGGGCAATCCGGCAGAGCTTCGAACCTTGGACGTACGGGTGCCAAGGGATGCGGACGAGCTTCACCGCGAGGTCCTCGGCGACGATGCGGCGCATCATCTGGAGGGTACGCCAGAAGTGCACGGCGGCTTTGTCGGCGTCGCTCCCTTTGGCAGCTCGCGTTTCCGCCTGCACATCGGCACGTGATGTGGGTTAGTAAGGCGATGGGCAGCCAACGAAGCAATGGCGACGTAAGGACATTGTCGGTGTCTATTAACATACATCGCGCAGCAGAGCATCCACGCCCGGGAAGATGTGCTCGGCGATGATGTCCAATAGTTTGTTGGAGGGCTCGACCCTGCTGCGACCCAAGAAGTAGTCTTGCTTGCAACCCGAGTAGCCGGCCTTCTTCATCACCACCCCAACGGGAATGGCTGTGATGTAAGCACGCGTCATCTTGTCGAGTGCCCAGTGACCCAGCTCGGCGATCTCGGCGCGAGGCGTCCCTTCAATGGCTAGCTCCTGCGCACCTCCGGCGCGAGCGGCGTGCACATTCCGCTTGCAGAACACCTTGTTGGTCGTCCACAACTGCCGCGTCCAACGTTGGTGGCTGGAGGCGGAGAGCTCTTTTTGCTCCTTGTCGTTGCGGGCGAAGAAGAGGTGCTTCTTGTACCGGCGCTCGCGTTCGGTGGTGTCAAGCGGCGGAAGGAAGTCGACGCCGTTGAACTGACGCCGCGGCGGTCGAGGATGAAGTGCAACCATAGGCCGGTCTCGCCGACGGCGCACAACTCCGCTTCCAAGTGTCGCGCCGCGTAGCTCTGCTGAAGACGGGCATCCTTGGAAGTCTTCGAGTTCCGCGCGGCGATCACCATGACGACCGGCTGGTTCTCCGGGTTCACCGACGAGGTGCTAGCCAGTCGGTACAAGAAGATGTCGGGGAGCGTGATCTCGCGGATGCTGGCGCCTCGCAGGAGAGTGTGGTGGGAGAGTAGCGTGAGCGCCTTGGTGAGCAGAAATCGCCACAGCGTCTGCGAAGGAGCGGTTGCCCGCGGGTTCCACGCCGACGCCGCCCATGTCGGCAGCACCTTCATCATGATCTGGCGGAACTGTTCGGCGGTGTAGGTATCGCCGATGGTGCCGCGACGCCGGTCGGCACAATTCCTGCCCATAAAGCCACCGAGTATTTTGAGTTTGACGGCGTCGACTTCATAGTGACGTGGACAGAGGTTGGCGGTGTCGACAAACTTACTTGACGTCCCTCTCGTTCTTGGTGCGGACCATGAACCGCACCTCCGATCTGACCACCGATATCTCCCGCATGATGCTCAGCTCCTTCTCCCGGTAGAGCATCGCCTCCACTCTCGCCGCCATCTGGCATGCCTTTATGCGCCCGAGGAGCGTGTGCACCGTTGTACCTTGCACCGGATGGGTTCGCGGGGCATTGTTCCCCTCCTCGATCGACTCGGCATCGAGCTGACACTCACGTATCATGAACTTCACATAGGCGCGCAGCCGGGTTTCGGTTACCCTAGGACCGTGCAGCCAGATGTACTCTCGGGGGACCTCGGCCACTTTGTCCCAATTCTTCTTCTTGTTGTCCCGGATGTAGTGGCCGATCTCGTCGACGTGCCTAAGCCTGTGCTCCTGGGGAAGCTTGTCGCGTATTTGCGTCAGCATTTTCGCCGCCCACCTCTTGTAGTGGTAGATGAACGAGGTGTACAGCCTCAGCGTGCTATTCTTCTCCAAGGTTTGCAGGTGGCGTAGGGCGTCTATGACCAGCACGTCGATGCTTGCGTAAACCATGTCGTCCTCGACGAAGTCTGCTGCTCTCCACTGTTCGCGTGGCGCCGCCATGTTCTGCTCGTCCTCGTCCTCGTCCTGTTCTAGCATGTCATCTATGTATTCAAGTTCCCGCCGGAGGCGTTCTTCCAAGGTGCGCGGATTCGTGCTACGCGGAGGACGCTCGTCGTATTCGTCGTCGCTCTCCTCCTCCTCCTCCTCCTCCTCCTCCTCCTCCTCCTCCTCCTCCTCCTCCTCCTCCTCCTCCTCCTCCTCCTCCTCCTCCTCCTCCTCCTCCTCCTCCTCATCAACCTGGTTTCCTGAGCCGCCCGGTACCAACGAAGGTCCAGGCTGCCCATCTTGCGTCGGTGTGGACTTACTAGCTGGCTTGGTAAACTCTCCTATCGGCGGTGGGGGAATGTCCTTGGTGAACTCCCCTTCTGGAATCTGTGTCAGTGCGTCAAGATCGTAGAGTAACTTGAGCGTCTCTTCGGGGGTAGAGGTCTCAATGTGGTCGGTTGGGGGACCAACGTCGGGCATGTCGACGTCTGCCATGAGGCCGCTCGTAGTTTGCTATACCGTCGACCGTGTTCGAGGTAAGGGATGGACCACCAGAGACGGTACTGAGTCGCTGGTGCGGTGTACACCCGATGAGTTGCTCAGGCGTCTTCGTCGGATTCTCTCTCAAGTGCTTCGAACTCAGCGGCGAGCTCGAGGCGTTCCAGCTGTGCTTTGATGTCGGCGTCTACAGAGTCGGCAGGGGGTGGGATGGGTTGCGGCTGTTGGGCTCTAGGCCGTGCTCTGGCCATGCGTCGCCGACCTAGTTAGTTTCTTTGGAGGCGTTCTGACCGTTCGGTTACCTAAACACGCTACCGGTGCCGACGTGATCGATTGGTCGGTGCACGAGTAACCCACACTCGCGAAGATAGCTAGGGAGAGGAAAATTCAAAGTGCAAGAGAGAGCAGGAAGGAACGCAGGAACGCACAATGGAATGAGCACCAGCGCAAGGTCACGGAGGGGTATGGTCGTGAGCGACTCCCGATGTTGCCGCGCTTCACGCAACCCCCTATGCTTGTGCCGCTATGCATGTGTTCTCGTGCGGCGGCGCAGTGTCCGACGTGCCACGAGCCATGCATGGCTAATGGGTCGCCGCGCTGCACTCACGGGGCGTAAGCCTGGGAACGTCCACGGTGGTATGTGCGTGCGTTACGTGGCGTGGGCCCATCATTGGTGCCTCTACGCAGAAACGCCGACATGCCGACTTCCATTGCCTAAGGGCACGGAGTTATTGAAGAGCCGCGTGGCAAGCCCACCGTGAGCCCTCGTGGTCGACGCCGACTTTCGTGGTCCGGACAATCCCGTTGGATCCTTAGTCGACACCGACATGGCGAGCAGCTCGCGATGCCAGACAACTGTAACATTTTTTTACGGTCAGATCTTCGCCGCGTGGATCGGCCACCGACAAATTTGGGCGCGCAGTGGAGTTCCCGCGCTGAAATCGCGGCTCGACGTGTCGTGCTGTGAGTTTTTGTCCGCTGAGATGTCCTTCTCGGGTTTATCTCAGCGAAACCCGAGGTCGTCAGATCGTCGACAGTCCCGAGGCATCAGGTCTGCCATTTCGCCCCAGTTTGCCACTCGGAGTCGTCGGGAGTTCGTCAATCCCGAGGAGGGCCGTTGTCCTATCGCAACCGCGAAATCGGGCGGCAGTTTTCGTCGGCTGAGGTATATCCTCCCGTGACTGGCGGTCACCAGCAAATATCTCGGAGCACGTGCATTGCGGTGCTGCAGTGGCAAGATCAGATCATCACAAGACAACTTCAATTCACGTGAAACCGCCCACAGACAACTGACGGAAGCAGCGGTCGACATTCACGGGCAACGGCCCACACCCTACACGCCTACGACAAAACGCGTAAATTTTTGGCCGAGAATAAGTTAGCCAAATTCCCCATACGAAACACGCGGGGATACTACCCGAAATTTGGGAACTCTAATTGAAATGGTAACCCCACTACTACGTTCAGACCCAATTTGCCCTGGTTGCCGCGGGCGCGCAACAGGAGCAAAATGCAAGATGGGGGGAGTGAAAGGGCCATGTGTACAGAGCACCACCGCAACAAACCCACCCGTCTAATCAGGAGCCCACCCACCCACCCACCTCCCCCCGCTCCACCAGTTTCTCTCCAGCGAGTCCTCTCCTCTCACCACATTTCCATTTCTCCCCCGCGCATGTCGCCCGTTTATTGGACAATTTTCTCGAGACCTCCCATCACCTTCCCCCGTCCTTTCCGCCCACCCCAATCTTCCCCTTCCTCTCCTTCCATCTTTCGTTCACCACTGTGGTGGTCTGTCTTCTTGGCCTAGATCAACTGAAACTTGTCCCCTCCCCTTCCCACACACATCACGAATCACATTTTACAGCACAACTGCAATTTGCTGTCCTCAGTTTGGGCGGCTCGGAAGCTTCTGACTTGCCGGATCTGCACCCTTGCTGAAGCATGCTCTCAATACCTCAGGGCTACCGCATTAATAGTACCGCCCAATTCGATCTCAGGATTCACTCCTCCCGTCCTTCCTTTGTCCGCTCCTGTCCAGCTAATACTGTACGATCACCACGTGGGAGACGCCACATGGGGTTCCTTCCTCGAGAGAAGCGGCTTGCCGTACGATACAGAGGATGGATGAAGAAATCCGTGAAAAGCGGCATTCTGAAGGCATTTGTGAAATATTGCCCAGCTATGTGGGAGAGCTCGGGCGGGTGCTGCAGCCTCGGAGCTCTTTTAGTCAGTGAACGAGACAAAGCGAGATCGATAGGTTTGCACGTGAGGCATTGTCGCGTGCGCGTTGTGGCGCGCGTTAATGCATGGCATACAGCTGGTTACAGGCGAGTCTTACAAGGGTTCGTGCAAAGCGACATTTCCGTTGTAAATATTTTCATGCTAAAAGTCCGGATTTCAAGGCCGGTTCCTCCATCAGCTAGTCTCGCCGCCTCCACATGCATAGCCTCCGGCGGTCGTTCCGTTGACGCTTTCCGCGGTGCGACGTGGAATACTGCGATCGTACAGCACGCCCTGCCGCAGGAGCATCGGCATTGGTCGCTAATACTATCTGAAACATCACCCCTTCAAGTTCCTCCGGAAGGACGTCACCCCCCTCAGCGGCGCTGCTCCTCTCGTTCTCGCTTCTCCACTCACTCTTCTTCTGCTCCTTCTTCAGTTCGCTGCTCCTCTCGGTCCTCCGCTGTTCGACGAAGCGAATAATAGCCGGACTCCAGGCTCGAAACATTCCGCGAAAATGGAGGGAAGACTAAGAGATTTCGCGCAACTGCCGGAACAGCTTGAAGCAGGGAATCAAACGCCGCATTCGCGGCATTCTCAGCTCTCTCGAGCGCGGACCGCGGGGTCGGAGCCTTCATCGCCCCACCCTGCTCCCGCCGCTGCCTTATCCGGCTTGGAGCGCATCGTCACGCGGTTTCCGTCGCTGCCACGTGGCGGCGACAACGCAGCGGCGGCGCCGCCGCCGCCGTCACATCACGAAGAGTTCCCGCAGGAAGACGAGTCGCACCGCATGATGATGCTGCAAACGATGATGGCTTTTGAGACGTCTCAAAGGCAAACGATGATGACAATGGCGGCGTTTGAAGATGCCGTAGCAGCTGCTTGTTTCTCGCGGTCATCGGATTTCTATGGCGGCGCCGGTGCTGGCGGCGGTCGCGCTTTGCGATTCGAGCCTGCCAGGCTTGGTGGAGGGGAAGGACGCGCAGCTATGGCGGCGCCGGCAGCGCAGGCACAGTCGTCGCGAACAGCGGCCGCGGGAACCGCGCAGGCGGCATTCGCAGCCACGGAAGCGACGGAACGAGTACTGTCGCCGAGTGGCAAAAGAGAAGACCTTGGCGACATTTCGCAGTGGTTACAGGCGGTCATGATGGGAGAGTCGCACGGAGTCGCAAGGGGGGTCGCAGGGGCGGGAGTCGCTCAACCGGGATTCGCATCAGCGGACGTCGCATCTAGGGGGGTCGCAGCGGGGGTCGCACCAGGGGGGAATGCGCCAGGGTGCTTCGCGCCAGGGGGGATTGCGGGTGCTACAGCCTGTGCCACAGCTGGCGCTACAGCCGGCACTACAGCCGGTTTTTTCAGAGGCAGCTATGGCATGGAGAGAATGCAGATGATGGCTTCGTTCATGACAGCACGTGCAACAGCCCATGCTACAGCTGGTGCTACAGCCGGTGATACAGCCGAGTGTTTCCGAGGCAGTCATGGCTTGGAGAGAATGCAGATGATGGCATCTTTCATGGCTGCTAACTCGGAGGAGGATGGGGAGGGGGAGGGGGACGGGGACGGGGACGGGGACGGGGACGGGGACGGGGACGGGGACGGGGACGGGGACGGGGAGGGGGAGGGGGACGGGGACGGGGAGGGGGAGGGTGAGGGGGAAGAAGCAGGGGGGGAGGGGGAGGGGGAAGAAGCAGCGGGAGCATGGAATGGGGAGGGGGGAAAGCGGGAGGGAGAAGAAGAGGGGGGGGAGGATGAGGGACACTTTGGGAGGGAAGGGGGGGAGGGGGCAGACGACCTGATGAAGCAGAGAGATGGTGAGGAGGGAGGAGGGGGTGTGAAGGAGGGCAGCGGTAATGGACGAGAGGTAGTATGGATGTCAGTCGATGGTCCAGCTACTGTTGGTTTAGCTGCTGCTAATGGCACTGCTGCTAGGGGAGGGATAGTAGTAGGTGATAGGGGGGCTGGCAGTGATGATGGCGATGCTGCTGCTGCTGCTGCTGCTGGTAGTGGTAGTGGTGGTGATGATGATGCTGATGCTGGTGGTGATGCTGCTGCTGGCAGTGCTGGTGTCGGCAGAGGTGGGAGGCACAGGCAGCAGCAGGCGAACATCAAGCCGAGGTCAATGCGAGAGCGACGCAGGAGAGAAAGAATAAGGTGAGAAGAAAAATAAGATCACTCAATAAGGTGCTTCATCTGACTCAGTGCCTGTTTCTGCCCTTGGTCCTGTTAGCTTGTGGATGGCTTTTGAGGCGCCTTAAAACCCGACTCGGTACCTGTTTCTGCCCTTGTTCCTGTTAGCTTGTGGAAGGGTGCCTTACCAACGCCTTTTGCATGCAATCTGTCTGATAGCCCTCTCTCTCTCCCTTTTCTCTCCGTCCCTCTTTCCATTCTGTCAACGCCCCCGGGGAGCAGTGAGTCACGGAAGCGGCTAAGGATGACCGTGCCTCTTGATCTGCTGGGCCCGCACCAACACCGTGCCTGATATCCCTCCCTTCCACTACCCCTTGTTCTCTCCGCCCCCCTTGTTCCCCCCGGGACCAGTGAGTCACTGAAGCGGTTAAGGATGACCGTGCCTCTGGACCTGCTGGGCCCGCACCAAGACCTGGGGTCCATGATCGAAGGAGCCGTCAACTACATTCAAGTCATGCAGGTGAGCTGGCTGTTGTATGCTAGCTGTCAGCTGCATGCTGGTCATGTGGGTTCCTTGAGCTTTGAATCACCTCATGTTGTTGAGCACCTCATGAACTGGTTTTGAATCAACTCAACCATGAATTATTTGCTTCTTTGTGCGCACTTTGTGGATATCAACCCAGATGCGATTGTCGGAGCTGCAGCAGCGAGTGCTGGAGGGGGAAATTAGAGCAAGGGGGGAAATTAGAGCAAGGCTTAACAGGTAGATCGGCAGTGGCCCGTGCCACTGCGGATCGTAAGGCCAGCTTGTGTAACAGTATCAGATTGCTCATACTGTAAGAGCAATTGTTATATACCGTAGTTATCTAGAGAGGGGCAGAGTAAAAGCTAGTACTAGAAGCTTAGGTGCTTTTTGTTAGCTATGTGTGGTGTGTTGCACCCACTGACTTCTCGTGCTATGAAGGTCGTTCTGTCGTGAGTCCTTGCAAGTACCATGCAACAGTAGTACGGTACTACGGCAGTAGCCTCAGGAAGCCTCAGGAACACGTTGTATTGGAGCAAGAAGCAGTAGTGAGTCATGGTGCATGACTCAATCCCCCTTGGGATTGGAGCTAAAGCAATACATAACACCTAACAGAATCTCTACATATACGCTAAAGTATAGTCTATGGAGTATGACATGAGGCATGATGATGTGATGATCATTAAAGCATGATCGAGTGATAACGGGCTTGCTGACTTGCACCGTATCCTGCAATCTAGGGTGTAAAGGATTATTTTTGAGACGTCTCAAAAGTGATAACGGGCTTGCAGGCTTGTACCGTATTCTGGTGTAAGGAGGGAAGCTGGGGAGCAGCAGCAGTGGCAGCAGCACAGGCATTGAAGCTGGGCTCGGGCACTGGTACTATGCTGAGACTGCCCTGAGCCGCATATCACCGCTCCCAACCTTCTCCAATCTAGCTGCAGGCATTGAAGCTAGGTTCCGCATACTGGTACCACACACCAAGCTGATTATTTGCAACGATCTTCCCCACCCCGCAATCGTCCGGGTCATGGAACATAATACACTTTCCGCCGCACTCCCCGTTGGCAGCGCTGTTGGCAATGTAGGCCCAGAGGTTGCAGTAGTCGGCCTGCTGGACCTGCGTGGCGAGGCACTGCTGCTGGCACTGCTTGTAGGAAGGGAGACGCACCATGCCTGTTATGTGCTGCAGGTTGTCACGCAGCCCAGGCACCTGGTGGGAAGGGGTGAAGGAGAAAACGGGAGGAAGGGAGGGACAGGGGGAGGGAAGGAGCGAGGGAAGAGGAGTCTGATCGAGGCTGAGTGTAACCCGTAACGCACCTTACAATGGTGGGGGTTTGGCCCACATCCTATGAATGAATGGATCAGCACGCTGCCATCATTCTGCTCACTATCGCTTCCAGAGCACTGACCTTGTCAAGGGCCGCGCACGGAGCGCACTGGTCCTTCCTCCCAGTTGCGACAAACCCGGCCGAACACACCCTGCACCCGCTCAGAAAAAAAGTTATAGGTAGATCTTACCTTGTCGAGGGCCGCGCACGGAGCACACTGATTCTTCCTCCCCGTCGCCACGAACCCCGGCGAACACGCCCTGCAGCTACTCAGCCGCGTGTAACCCGTCACGCACGTCGCACACGCCGTTTCGTTGTCCCACCGCCGAACGCACTGGCAGCTGGGGGTAAAATCCGCGTTATAGACACACGTCCCGTGGCCGTTACAGTCGTTAGCGCACCCCGTGCAGCCCTTGCAGTTGGCTCGGATCTTCACCCCCGGAGCCCGGTCCACGTTCGCAGGCGCGGACATGCTGCAGAAGCTCACCGAGCCTGTTCCCGAGCCTGCCGCGAGCTGCCGAACCGCAATGTCGCCGGCTTGCTCGCGCATGCTGTTGTGGTTACTAGCGAAGGAGGTGGAGCAGAGGGAGAGTGTAGTGTCTCGAGAGGAGACCAGGATGGCCCCTCCCCCGCTGTCGGGGCCGTTGTTTCGCCCCGTGGGCGGCTGAACGGCGACGTTCCTAAAGAAAGTGGATTTGACTACAGTGAGGCTCTTAGCCGTTGTTGCTATGGCGCCGCCGCCCACCACTGCATGTGACAGTAGACAAGGTGACAGTAGAGGGGGGGAGAAGGGTGGATTAGACTATAGTGATGCTCTTAGCCGTTGTTGCTATGGCGCCGCCGCCCACCACTGATTGCAGGGAAAAGGGGGAGAACGTGGGAAAAATGGGGAAAATGGGGAAAACAAGGGGACAAGGGAGGAAAGGAGAGAGAGAGGCGAAAGGGGGAGGAGATTGTGGTTAGATGCGAGGGTCACAGGACACGCGGCAGGGCAGGCGGCAAGACAGGCGGCAGGAAAGGAAGAAGGAAAGGTGGTAGGAAAGGCGGCCGCCCACGAGCCATGCCAGCAACACTCACGCGCGTAGTTCTTCTCGAATTTGACGGATTTCATGTACAACACGTTATCCTCGCTATAGATCGCGCCGCCCTTTCCCTTCTCCGCGCGGTTCCCGCGGAACGTGCACCCCGCGAGCTGCACGCGCGGGCCGCCCACGGGCTCCTGCCCCACGTTGAGCGCGCCGCCATTGCCGCTCTCGGCGGTATTGTTAATGAACTCGCAGAAGGTAAAGAGCAGCGCGCCCGATGTGGGGGAGGCGGCGCGGGAGCTGTTGGGGAGAGGGGCGTGGGGAGGGGGTGGAGTTGGAGAGAGGAAAGAGAGAGAGGGGAGAGAGGGAGGCAGTGAGATGCACGCAGTCGTTGCCGCTCTCGGCGTTATTGTTGATGAACTCGCAGAAGGTGAAGAGCAGCGCGCCCGATGTGGTGGAGGCGGCGCGGGAACTGGAGAAGCAGGCGCGGGCGGGGGCAAGGGGAAAGAGGGGTACAAGAAGAGACTTCGGTAATGACAGGCGCATGTGATGGAAGAGCAATGGTATGGACGGCAGCTGATGCTCCCGCTGCTTCTTTCCTTGAAGGACGAGGGGTTCCTAGAAGCATGGAAGCAGGTCACAGTGGTGCTCGCACTGGCGGTACAGGTGGTGGCACTGGTGGTGGTGCTGCTGCTGCTGGTGGGAGTGGTTGTGGTGGCACTGGTGGTGTTGGTACTGCTGCTGGTGGTGGGAGTGGTGGTGCTGCTGATGGTGGTAGTGGCGGCAGAGGTGGTGGTGCTGCCACCGATGGTTGCTGGGTGCAAAGCGGTTGCCAGGGGTGGCGGTGATGTTGATGAACTCGCAGAAGGTAAACAGCAACCCCCAGCCTCCAGCCCCTAGGGCTGCTACTAGTTCCCTTCCCACCACTAGCTGGGTACTCACTTGACCACGGCGCTACCCCCGGTGGAGCGCGCGACGTTGTTGATGAACGTGACTCGGCGCGCCGTGAACCAATGGCGAGCTATCCCTTTCCCCCGCACTCCTTTCCCCTCCCCGTACTCACTTGACCACGGCGCCACCACCAGTAGTGCGCGCGACGTTGTTGATGAACGTGACTCGGCGCGCCGTGACGGCGCACCCGCCGGTGTGCACACCGTTGACGGCGTTGCGAACGGTGACCTGCTCCAAGGAGATGAAGCAGTTGAAGCCGCCGGAAAACACGGCGAACTTGTGCCGCCCGTCGATCACGCACTTGGCGGAGCCCGCGCAACTGCCCTTCACCGCCACTCCCGCGTTGAACCCGAGAGACGGGAGGGGCCTGCGCGGAAAATGGCGGGCAGAGGGTAGAAGAGAAAAAGGGCAAGGTGAGACGGAGTTCTTGTGGTGGCGCCAGTCGATCACGCACTTGGCGGAGCCCGGGCACCTGCCTCTACCCATAAATCTTAGTTGATATGGAAGTTCCCTTCGTTGCACCGTATACCGGCGGCGTACTTGGTTAGTAAGACGTCGGACGTGAGGTGGACGGTGATCGTCTTGCGCTGCGAGTTGGCCGTGTCGATCGCGTCGCGAAGCATGTCCTCCGCGTTCCGCCCGCTCGCCGCCATCGTCCCCGCCGACAGCTCCTCGAAGCTTCGCAGAAGCTGCCGGTCGCTTTCCTCGCGACGCCTGGACACGTCGCGATGCGGACCGCGGACTAGAGAAGCGACGGGAACTGCGTCAGAATCGGCGGCGGAGATTGCGGGGAAGAGAGCGACGCAAATCACGTGGACGAGGACGTGGAGAGGAATGCGATTAGAGCGGACTGGCTTGACGCGCTTCGCCGAAGAGCAGGAGGAGGAGGCAGAGGCAGCGGAGGAGGAGGAAGAGGAGGAGGTAGGGGCCGATTCGGTGTGGTTTCCCGAGGAAGAAGTGGAGGTTTGGAAGGCACGTACGCGAGAGAGTGAGGAGATTAAGACATCAACTCTGAGTAGCGACGCCATGGCCTGTATCGACAAGCGCAACGTGCTATAACGGGTGAAGATGATGACGTGGCAGAGCGAATATTGGTGCGGGAATCAGGGAGAGAACGCTCTTTGCGGAAGGTGCGGATACTAGGCCCACTTTGCGTTACTGCAGTGGCGGCTGGCGAGGATAGCAACCTATTGCTCAACGAGTAATGTGCTTTCGATAGGTCTTTACTTGCGAGCTACTCAAGTGAACGGCAGTATTTATAAGAATGTCTTCCTAAAACTCGTTACGGAAGGGGCTGAAGGCCTAGAGACGCCAGGTGGGTGGATGGGGAGTTTGGCGTGCTAAATGACGATCCGTCGGTGGTTTGGACGGAGATCTTGCGCAAGAGGAGACTTAAGTCCGCTTTGGATACTTCGACGACGGTCTGAAGACGAAATGGCGAGCAGAACGGTGCGCCGCCAAAGCTGGTGCGGAGAGAGTTCGACGAAACAGCGATCCTATCCGAATAACAACGGATACACAACGGGTGGAGAATAAGGAGAACCTTGGAACTTCCGTCCAAGAGAATAAGAGCCCAAGTTGAGTAGACCTGACCCAAACATGACAAAGGAAAAGCAACACACGAGATTGGGGGACGAGACGGGGGTCTGCTGTGTGTGCATCTCCGCATTCCGTTTGAAAAAGGGGCGCAATGTCGGCTTGGTTTACTGCTCGCGCCTTGGCTGGCGGAATTCGAATTTCGCACAGAAATTTGAGAAATCTGTACGACCTCCGCGTCGCACTTCTGAGATTCGTTGGGAAAATGAATGAAGTTGCGCGGTCCGCAGGATAAATTTTATTTGTTATGGGATGACTACACTACACCTTTTTCCCTATCTCCTGAGTTAGCGAAGATCATAATCTCAACCAATCCAGCATGTTAAATCAATGGATCAATGGATTTTATGGTTTAGTATCACGAGGCACCAATCCTACTATACACTATCCCCCTCGATATGTAGAACTACAAATCACTCAAGAAGAACACGAGAGCATGCAAACCCCAGGCTTGAGTGCCCACTCGGGAGGGGGCTGAGCAAATTCCTCAGCCCCTGCTTGCTCCTCGTAAGGATTCTGCAACACTTGCTGTAACCGCTGTGTAATGCTGAAATCTCCTCGTTCCGCTGCCTCAATCGCCAGCTGGCACTGGTAGTTGCGGAGGATGTAGGCCGGGTTGACTGCATCCATAGCTGCCCGGCGGGCAGCATCTGAAACCTTTTCAGCCCGTAGCTGAAAGCAGGGACGAAAAGGGGACGAAGAAAATACATTTCACAAGGAGCACGTGTAACATGGAGCAGAGACTGTAGAAATGCAGGGCGAGTGACAACCTAGACATAAGCGGGATATGTGAGAGAGAAAGAGTGCTAAGGAAAGATTCGACAGAGAAATTCAAGAAGTTGTAAGTGCAAGAGACCAGACAGAGTAGTTGACTCAAAAATAAGCTCATTACAAGGAGGTGCAAGACACAGATGGAAAGCAGTGTAACACCTGATGACAGGCCATCCCACACACCTTGGCAGTATAAAGACGAAGCCAGTCCACCCATTCCTTCTCTTTCTCCCCTTCCTTTCCTGCCCCCTCCTGCACCCCCAGCGCCCCCCTCATTGGCGCTAGCAGGTCAGCGTTTGAAGCTTCTGCAGAGGGGAAGCGGAAGGAGAGGGAGAAGGGGAAGCGGAAGGAGAGGGAGAAGGGGAAGCGGAAGGAGAGGGAGAAGGGGAAGCGAAACGACAGGGACACAGGGGCAGGCCCCGAAGGTGTTGATAAGATTTCCGTACTCCTAATAGCCTGCTTTAGTTTTAAGACGTCTCAAAACTATGTGTTGATTTGGTCCCCCATAGCCTGTTTCAGTCTTGTTTGAGACGTCTCAAAACCATGTGTTGATAAGATTGGTACTGTTAATAGCCATGGAGAGGGTAGAGCGGGCACTGCAGGTGAGGGGGGCCTTTGCTCCCATTGCTCCCACTATCCCCACTGCCCCCACTACCCCTACTCCCAACAGCAGTTCCGCTAGAGGACCCATCCCTTTCAGCGGGCACACGGGCGAGGGCAAAAAAGGTGTTGGTGCAGTCAGAGGCGTGCTTTGCCATGAGCTGCAGACACCCTCACTACCCCCACTACCCGCACTACCCCCACTACCCGCACTACCCCCACTACCCGCACTCCCCCCACTACCCGCACTACCCCCACTACCCCCACTACCCCCACTGCCCCCACTACCCGCACTGCCCGCAAACCCTCACTACCCCCACTACATTTACTCCCAACAGCACTTCTGCTAGAAGACTCACCTCTTTCAGCGGGAACACGAGCAAGGGAGCGGAAGGTGTTGGTGAAATCAGCGCCATGTTTGGCCATGAGCTGGAGCAACGACTGAGTCAAGTCCTTGTCATATGTGGGCAGACCCAGCTTGGCTGCCATGCGCTGCTGGTAGGCTGACAGGAATGCCTCCGCGTACCTGGGATGGGAAATGGGGGGGGGGTTGAAGGGGGACATGGGGAGGAGGGCGGCGAGTGAGTGAGGTCCTTGTCGTATGTGATATGTGGGCAGACCCAGCTTGGCTGCCATGCGCTGCTGGTAGGCTGAGAGGAAAGACTCTGCGTACCTGTGATGGGAGGTGGGGGAAGGGGAGAGCGTGTTAAAGAGGAGTTACAGGAGTGAGGGGAGTGAGAGGGCATGACATGACAGTCTTGCAGCCTGACTTCTCAAAAGGAATCTGAAGGGGCACCGGTGGTGAGGATAGCTAGGGAACACCCTACGGCTGAAACATGTGCGGCAATCCCCCCGCCCACCACACACATACACACCTGGACACCCCGTGCTGTGCCTCGGCCACTCCAATGATGCCACCTGTCATGAGCGTATTGGCCAGCTGCACCACGTTCCACAGCCCAATATCCGGCTGCTGCCGAAAACAATATCGCCTTCCGGGCACATCCGAAGTGTTGCAACGGGGCCGAAAGGCTCAGAGGAATCGAGAAACCCAAAGGGACCCTAGTGGACTGTGGATGGTGGTAAGGACTGTTAAGGACGCCTTACACTTTGAGACTCGTCCGACAACCCCCAGCCACATACACACCTGGAGACTCCATGCTGCGCCTCGGCCACTCCAATAATGCCACCTGTCACGAGCGTATTGGCCAGCTGCACCACGTTCCACAGCCCAATATCCGGCTGCTGCCGGAAGCAGTACCGCCTCCCGGGCATGTCCGACGTGTTGGGGGTGAAATCCGGGTCGAAGGAGTCAAGAAATCCGAAGGGCCCGTAGTCGATGGTGAGGCCGAGAATGCTCATGTTGTCCGTGTTGAGCACGCCGTGTGTGAAACCCACTGCTTGCCATGCTGCCACCAGCTCTCCTGTGCTCTTTGTTACCTCCACAAACCATGCTGGGGGTTGGCAGGGGGAGGGGCAACAGGAGGAGGAAGGGGAGGGGGAACGGGAAGGGAAAAGGGGAGTAGTTGGGGGTGGAATCCGGGTCGAAGGAGTCAAGAAACCCGAAGGGCCCGTAGTCGATTGTGAGGCCGAGAATGCTCGTGTTGTTCACAAGTGAACGGAAGCGCCAACCAAATACCTGCATACTTGTTTGTCGTGACATCCACAGCATCGGGATCCCCAACCTCCTCGTCCTCCTCCGAGCCTGGCTCCCGGACCTGCACCGGAGGCTCGGGGAGGTCGGCCAGGTGCGGGAAGTGGTGCAGAATGGTGTAGTCTGCAAGCACCCGAACCATCTCCTTGTCCAAACCTCCCCGGGAGGCATGGAGCTGGAACGAGCCGAACCTGTTGGAAACAGAAAAAAAAAAAAAAAAAAAAAAAAAAAAAAAAAAAAAGGGTAAGCGAGAGAGGAGGGTCTACTGAAACCGTCTAAGTTACCCGTCTGGCATAAGCGCGTCTTAAGCTAACAAAAGTTAACTCACGCAAAAGCAGCACCTTGTGTAAAAGCTGTTTGAGTGATGTTGCTATTTATAGTAAAAGATACTTAATAGGGAAGACTGACCTGATGAAGGAGGGTGCCAAGCGACACACAGCAGCTCCTGGCTCAAACTTGGCGTTGCCACTGGGGGGGATGGGATGGAGATGGGTTGGGATGGGTGAAAGGGGATGGGATGGGATGAGGGAAAGGAAATGGGGAGATGAGGTGATGGGGACGGGGAAGGGGGGTGGGGGGGCGGAGATGGGTTGGAATGGGATGATTTAGGGGATAGAAATGGGGGAATAGGGGTGGAGTGACTATTGAGTTCACAGAAGCAGCCACACTCACTTGTAGAACAGAGGGGGCTAAGTGAGTATGAATCTCAAATAATCAAACTCATTTGTAGAACGTAAGTGATTATGAGATGAATATAATCAATCACACTCACTTGTAGAACATGTCTCGCAGCACCTTCTCCCCCGTCGTGACAACACAGAGGGCCCTTGCTGTAGGGACACCCAGGGCAGCCATTGCCTCGCTACAGAGGTACTCTCTAATGGATCCCAAGAATCAACACACACTGTCACACTCACTTGTAGAACATGTCTCGAAGGACCTTCTCCCCAGTGGTGACAACAGACAGCGCCCTCGTTGTAGGCACACCCAGGGCGGCCATGGCCTCGCTACAGAGGTACTCTCTAATGGAACTGCGCAGCACAGCACGTCCATCCGCGTGCCTGCTGTACGGCGTCTTCCCCACCCCCTTCAACTGCAACTCCCACCGCTCCCTCCACCCCTTCCCCTGCGCGCCTTCCGCCTTCCCCCCCTCCCCCTGCGCGGGTTCCCCCAGCACCACTTCCCCCAGAGTGATGGCGCGCCCATCCCCCAGTTGTCCCGCCCATGAACCAAACTGGTGCCCCCCGTAGCACTGCGCGTAGGGCTTGCTGCAAGGCGTGAGGGGAAGAAACAGGGAAAGAACGGGAGCGGGCAGGGGGAGTACACGGGAGAGGAGGGGCAAAGGGCAGTGGAGAGGGGAGACGGGGATGTGTGGGGAACCTCGTGGCACTGCGCGTGAGGCTTGCTGAAGAATGTGAGGAGAGAGGGAGGAGTGTGAGGGATGCGGCGCTTTTCCACTCCATGCTCCTCAGCCCTAGATTAATTCTGGATTCGGGGTTAAAACACGAATGGACTCAGCCCTATACGAGCGGTTGCAGCACGCACCAGGCCTGACGCACTTGACAAACTCAGTGCAAGGATGAAAAAGCAGGTTCCTTTACTCTCAGCACTCACCAGCCCTGAAGCACAATGCCCCCTGTGAAGACCGCCGCAAACTCAGGACGCGAGAACCTGTGGCGGAGGACAGCGGAATGGAAGGAAATATAAAATATAAGTGCCATCACAATACACAGGGTTGCCCATACTTTAGGGCTAGGAATTTCATAGCTAGGGGGCTCCAAGACTAGAACTATTCAGGCAATTTCACAGACGAACTCACTCGTTGGGGTCGAGGCCAATGAGGTGCGCCACAGAATCCGAAGCGGCGACGACCTGCGGGTCCTTGAGCTTTAGCGACGGTCGCACTCGCGAGTAACACGCGTTGCGAACCTGAGAATCGAGGGGGACGGACAGAACAACGCCACGTTGCATGTGGTCACACACGTGCAGCGAAAGACTGCAATAAAAAGCTTTTGGACGTATGAAGTAGTCAAATCTTAGTCGCTAAATTCACCCAGTCACAAACAGAACAAGCCGCCAAGAAGAAAGGAAGAAAAAGAAAGAAAGAAAGCGACTACTACTGTCAGCACAGAGAATCTCCATGAATTAAGTACGTACGATTCGGACGTGATTCTCTTCGACGGGATCCCCAGGAAGCTTGTCAACAAACGTGCTCTCCCACTCAAGTTCCTCCAATCGTCGCACTCCCGCGATTCCTCTCCCCGACGCGGCTGCTACCCCGGCTTTCGCGCCGGCCATTGCGGCGTCAGCTGGAGCCTCCTTCACTTGCGAGGAAGCAGCGGCGCCGCCATCTCCAGCAGCGGCCGCCGCCGCGACAGTGATAGGCCTCGCAGGTGGCTGTTGATCGGCTGAGTGGCCACCAATTCCGCCGCAGATCCCGGCGACCATTGCGGCCTGATGAGAAAATCGGTTGGATCGGTACAGACGGTTCCTGGCAACTCGCGTGGAGATTAATCCAGAGCGAATCAGGCGATCGCTAAGCGAAACAAGAGACTGCTTGGGCGAAAGCGCAGGCGACACACGTGCGACAGCGGAGAGCTTGGATAGGGAGGAGGCCCCAGTGAAAAGGGCTCCCATGCCGGCTATCTAACCGACGTCTGACGTTCTGCAAAGCGCGCTGCGCACTGACGAGACGAATTCTACTTTCAGAAAGAGGGAATTCTAGGCCCAAATCAACACGGCACGCTCGCGTGCGTCACCCGTTACACGCTTCAATCCCCCGAAGACAAACAGGTGGAAGAAAAGGCAGAGGAGGACAGGGAAGTGGAAAAACTGAGTCAGAGGAATTTGCTCCTAGAGGAAGTGTTGGAGGGGAGGCGAGGTGGAAGTAGAGTGGAGCATAGCTGCATGGGAAAGGGGGGGGGAGTGCTGACGGAGAGTTGATGGCGATGGGTTGATGATGAATCGAGTCGCCATGGTGTCACTTGGGAGCTTCGCCATTGCTGGGAGGTTCCTGGGTAGTCACCTCCCGAAAAACAGGAATCCTCGGTGGTCGAGTAAGACGTTTCAAAAGAGCCGTGAAACTCTCACTCGTCTGAATTCTCTAATTGTTTTGACACAAATTAGGAAAGGTGTTGGTGTACAGAAACAAAGATGTTTGTTGAGAAGCAGACCGTGGTCAGAAGCATTGTGAGAAAAATCACCCGCAGGTCAGGAAATGGAATGACTGAGCGACACGTGGACCAAAACCAGAATTCAGGAATCTGGACACCACTTTTACCAGCGGACATGCAGCAGGACGTGTCCTACTCAAAACGAGTTAGACATAGCGGGTACGAAGCAAGGCCATCTTGCCTGCACCGAGTTCCCAAGCAGTCTCGAATTTTCATCATTTTTTGCACACGTTTCCATCCAAGCAGCAGCCGTAGTTCACGGCTTTAGGCTATTGCCAATTAGAACCCCTGCCGCCACCATGGGTCCTTGCACAGGTAGTCCCTTTTACTAATCGCGCCCGATGTTTGCGGCTTCCCTAGCTAATAAATGTCATCAAACTCCCATCTGAAAATCGCTTGCAAACCTAGGGACTGGACCTTCTCAGTCCGTACCTTCCTCTGATCCGTTTTCTCATCAACCCATTGCCACCTGTCGTCTCACCTCCTCGCTGCATTGTATTTCTTTCTCCCTCCTCCGCCTGCTCTCTTACGTTTCGTATGCTCTTGTTGTGCTTTTCCAATCCCCACCCACTTGCAACCATCAGCAATGACGTCAATTTCACCCGCTTCAGCCGCATTAGCAGCTTCGATGACGTCGAATGCATCTTCAGCAACTGCTAGATCATGCATGTTCGTCCGTAGCCGGCCAGAAACAGTGCACCAGAGAGCATTATTGATACCACCACCATCATTCCGTGCAAAGCTGCCTGTAACAGCATGTTTTCCACGGATAGTAATCGTTTCCGCTGGAGTTTCAAGAGCTCGGGTTGCTCGGGTACGGTCACTCCTCTGCTCTGCCATTCTCCTTCTTTCTCCATCTCCACTCCCCCTGTTTCTCCCTTCTTCCCGCATTCTCTGTCCCGCCGCTTACCCCTCCTCATATTTCCCTTCCTCTTCCTCCCTTGCCCTCAGTTTTTCACTAAGAACCTTCTTGCCCTCTGTCTCCCCCTCTCTTGATTGCTCTCTCTCTCGTTCTTGGTCTCCTAAGTCGTCAAACTTAACGTAGTCCCCTAAGTTGTCCTCCTTTAAGAGTTTCCAGGCAGATCTCTGCATTTGTACCGGATTCTGGTGTTTAGATCCGTATGCCCGTTCGCACCTTCTCACAGTTGATTGTTTGAAACCAACTTCCATTTACTCGTGCCCTTCCCTCCACCTGGTCCCCCTGGTCCCCCTGGTCCCCCTGGTCCCCCTGGTCCCCTGGTCCTTCCCCCTGGTCCCCCTGGTCCCTCCACCTGGTCCCCCTGGTCCTCCTGGTCCCCTGGTCCTTCCCCCTGGTCCCCCTGGTCCCTCCTCCTGGTCCCCCTGGTCCCTCCCCCTGGTCCCTCCCCCTGGTGCCTTCCCCCTGGTCCCTCCCCCTGGCCCCTCCCCCTGGTCCCCCTGGTCCCTCCCCCTGGTCCCTCCCCCTGGCCCCCCTGGTCATCCCCCCTGGTCCCCCTGGTCCCTCCCCCTGGTCCCTCCCCCTGGCCCCCTGGTCCCCATCTGCCAGCTAAATGCAGGCCGCTCAGTACACTATGAAACAGCCAACACTTACGTTTTTATAGCTCCAGGCGAAGAGGAATTGTTTCTGTCCCGCGAGGAAGTGCTTCAGTGCCTTCTGAACGAGCTTCAAAGCTGGGAAAAGGACAGGAAACGCCTGTCGGACGACTTGGCAGTTTTTGAGACTCTGGAGGAAGCCGCAGAGTTTCTGCTCGACTCAGCTTGTGAATTGGAGTTGGGTGGTGGGAAAGGTGCTTTGCAGTGGTTCGAAGTAAGGCTGGAGGCCAATTCGTCTGAATGAACGCTTGACTACAAATTGTACTTACGATCTTTCACAATAAGGCCTTCTTGAGTATATAAGCATTTTAATGTGCCTGTCTCTTCAATATTATACGCATTATGTCAAGTTTGTGTTCATTCATCTCTATGACAAAGTCCTCAAGTCCACTGTCTAGGAGGCTTAAACTCTTATATCCGAACGTGTTATATAATTGTGTTATGAGTTGGGAATTTAGAGCCATACATGTCTCGTAGATTAAAACAAGACTCGACGTTGACGTCGGATCGGAAGGGTTGCGTAGAGCTGTATTATGTGTATAAGGAACATTATGAAAGAGTACAATATAATCGTACTTTGCTTAAAGAAGCAATTAATTAAGTTCTTCATTTTAACTTCAAACAGGACACCGTATATGGTGCTTCGTTCTGCGCTGGCAGAAATTGTATCGTTCTGCGGTGGCAGAAATTGTCTTGTTCTGCGCTGGCAGAAATTCTCATTCTGCGCTGGCAGAAATTTTATCTCTGCGCTGGCATCCGTCCCTTTCACAACTGTCAACTCAATTTCTGCGCTCTTTTCTTGGTTCTTTTGTTCTGGTTCCTCTCGACTCGACAAGCACACCTGCTCTGCTCTTATTCCTCTTCCTTGCCCCCACCCCAATTTCTCGCCAGTTCTCCCACCCAGCCGTCGCTCTCGCTCCCATCCCGCCGTATCCTCTCCCTCACTACCCGCCTTCACCTCTCCTATTCACCTCACAGTCACTCAGTCCCACACCGCGATCTCCTCTTCCTTACTTCCCCGTCGTCGCCTCTCCCTCCTCCCCGTCGTCGCCTCTCCCTCCTCCCCGTCATCGCCTCTCCCTCCTCCCCGTCGTCGCATCTTCCTCCTCCCCGTCGTCGCCTCTCCCTCCTCCCCGCCGTCGCCTCTCCCTCCTCCCCGCCGTCGCCTCTCCCTCCTCCCCGCCGTCGCCTCTCCCTCCTCCCCGCCGTCGCCTCTCCCTCCTCCCCGCCGTCGCCTCTCCATCCTCCCCGCCGTCGCCTCTCCCTCCTCCCCGCCGTCGCCTCTCCCTCCTTCCCGCCGTCGCCTCTCCCTCCTCCCCGTCATCGCCTCTCCCGCCGTCGCCTCTCCCTCCTTCTCGCCGTCGCCTCTCCCTCCTCCCCGTCATCGCCTCTCCCGCCGTCGCCTCTCCCTCCTCCCCGCCGTCGCCTCTCCCTCCTCCCCGCCGTCGCCTCTCCCTCCTCCCCGCCGTCGCCTCTCCCTCCTCCCCGCCGTCGCCTCTCCCTCCTCCCCGCCGTCGCCTCTCCCTCCTCCCCGCCGTCGCCTCTCCATCCTCCCCGCCGTCGCCTCTCCCTCCTCCCCGCCGTCGCCTCTCCCTCCTCCCCGCCGTCGCCTCTCCCTCCTCCCCGCCGTCGCCTCTCCCTCCTCCCCGCCGTCGCCTCTCCCTCCTCCCCGCCGTCGCCTCTCCCTCCTCCCCGCCGTCGCCTCTCCATCCTCCCCGCCGTCGCCTCTCCCTCCTCCCCGCCGTCGCCTCTCCCTCCTTCCCGCCGTCGCCTCTCCCTCCTCCCCGTCGTCGCCTCTCCCTCCTCCCCGCCGTCGCCTCTCCCTCCTCCCTGCCGTCGCCTCTCCCTCCTCCCCGTCGTCGCCTCTCCCTCCTCCCCGCCGTCGCCTCTCCCTCCTCCCCGCCGTCGCCGCTCCATCCTCCCCGCCGTCGCCGCTCCTTCCTCCCCGCCGTCGCCTCTCCCTCCTCCCCGCCGTCCCCTCTCCCTCCACGCGGTTGCCTCTCCCTCCTCCCCGCCGTCGCCGCTCCCTCCTCCCCGCCGTCGCCTCTCCCTCCTCCCCGCCGTCGCCTCTTCCTCCTCCCCGCCGTCGCCTCCGGCGACAGGTGCACGAGCGCAAGCGTGAGTTGGTGCGCGAGCGCGGATTGGTGCGCGAGCCCGGGTTGTTTTCTGAGTTACCGTGGTTATCTGGTGCGTTCCCGGTTCTTTCATCCTCCCTCCTCCCTCTGAAAAAACTTTCTTCTTCTTCTTCTTTTGTTTGTTTGTTTTTTGCTCTCCTCGTGAAAGAGCGCGTGAGAGAGCGCGTGACAGTGCGTGTTAGAGCCCGTGAGAGCGAGCGCGCCTGAGAGAGCGTGCGAGGGAGCGCGTGAGTGAGAGTGCGCGTGAGAGTGCGAATGAGAGATTGCGTGAGAGAGCGCGTGAGGGAGCGCGTGAGAGCGCGTGAGGGAGCGCGTGAGAGTGTGTGAGAGAGTGCGCGAGAGAGTGCGCGAGAGAGTGCACGAGTGAGCGCGTGAGAGTGCGCAAGAGAGAGCGTGCAAGAGTGTGTGCAAAAGAGCGCGTGGGAGAGTGCGCGCGATAGAGCGCGCGAGTTTGCGCATGAGGGAGCGCGTGAGAGAACGTGGGAGTTTGCGCGTGAATTTCTGTTGCGCTTACTTTGTTTTTTAGTGCATCAAGGAAGCTGAATTCTCTGATTTTGTTTTCTTGTGCTATTAATGCAAGTTGTATTCTCTGATTTTGTTCTTGTTTGTGCAGGGAGTGAGTTGCATTCCCTGATTTTTCTTTCCTGTGCAGGGAGTTCAAGCTGCAGCCTTTGTTTCTTGCGGAGAGAAGGGATGGGGAGAAGGGAGATGAGGGAAATGAGGGAGGGAGGGAGGGGAACGGGGGACAGGATAGTGATAATTTATACAAGGCTGAAATTCATTCATTATGTTTGCATGCTTATTACAGTAGCTGTATGTTTTTGCGTTGTGTGTCTCTGTATATGTGTGAGCCTGTATGTGTGTGAGTGCGTACATGTGCATATGTGTGTTGTGCGTGCTTCAGGGTGTGGTGCTAAGTGCCTCCTGAATGCAACTCGGATTGTGATCGTCAGTGGGGCAGCTTTGCTAGCCTCTTCCGTACCATATCGATCTCAGTTGCAGCAGTGATGCATTTAGCATTCGCTTTGAAACTTTCTTAAACATTGTCTTGTGTTTTAGTAATCATTCATGTGTTATCGTCTGTGCTTGTTTTGGGGGTGTGGTGCTAAGTGTCTCGTGTATGCAACAGGGATTGTGATCGTCGGTGGGGCAGCTTTGCTCGCCTCTTCCGTACCATATCAGTGTCAGTTGTTGCATAGATGCATTTAGTATTCCCTTCAAAATATGTAAGACGGTTCTTGTACACCATCGTTTTTGTGGTCATTTGTGTATGTCTGTCTCTCGGTGGTACTCTTGTATTTTTTGTGTTGTCCTTTGTGTTCGTGTGTCATTGGGTACCGTATCATCTTTAGTGCTAAAACGATTCTCCAATTGTTCCATTCGCCGTACTTATCGACGATTATGGAATGATTGGAAACATTTGTTTTCATTTTTTTGGGGAAGCTATGTGAACAGTGATTTCTTTCAAAATGTATAAAAGAAATTCACTGTTCACATCAGCCAACCGAAAAGTGAAAACGAATGTATAAGGTTGCTACGCAACCCAAAAAAATCATTGTAACTCGAAACGAATCCAGGGTGTGTCGGTCCAAAACGCCTCTGCCTTCCAGCGCGTGGACACAACCCCCGCCACGCAAATTTCTACAGTGTTCCGATCGTGTGGAAACCAGGGTAACTATCTCCCTCGTCAATCCTCGCGTGGGAATTCTCGCGCACTCGAAAAAATATCGTTTGAACGAAAATTACTGTAGTGCGCAGGACGAAATTCTGTACCTTTTTTCGCGCGCATGCTGATTTCAGTAACGTGAGTCAGGCGACTCGAGGAACGTGCAGGGGGCGTGCCGTCTCGTGAACGAAACTGATCGTGTCCAGCCTTACTGTAAAATGAAGTGTTACAACCCGAAATGTGGTAACTGATGGAGTTTATGAATTGTAAATGAACGCACCGAGGATGGCATTTTCCTTTTGATCCTCCATGGTTTAAAGCCAGGATCTCAAGTAGTTTGGCTGTTTTGCAGTTAGTGAATTGTGTTAGGCTGTGATTGGTTGACGAGGTAGAGTAGTTGACGAGAGCTGAAACGAGGGATGCGAAGCAAACAAAAATCGCAGTGAACTTCCGAACCAGCTAGGCACGGAAATATGGTTGGGTTCCGAAGCTCATTTCCCAGCAATGTGTCTCACTTGCCGAAAAATCTCATGTACAGCAATTTGTTTTGCAATTGAGATTCACGGGCAAATCGGGGATCAGTCGCACACTGAACCTCCAAGCCAACCACTCGATTTCGCCTAAACAAACAGGGTGACTCGAGCTGCAAGTGTTTTGCAATTGAAGCCAATTTCTCTTACTTGAGATCCTGGCTTTAAAACCGGGGTGCACATTCAGCTGAATGTGCATCAAAGGTTATCCCTTGACTGAGTGGGTTACGAGGTGTGCTTTCAACCCCTTCAAGTCGAAATTCGTTTCCCCCCTCCCCCGCAATTTCGTTTCCCCACGCCCCCGCAATTTCATTTCCCCCTCCCCGTCGAAATTCGTTTCCCCCCTCCCCCGCAATTTTGTTTCCCCCCTCCCCCGCAATTTCGTTTCCCCCCCCTCCCGCCAATCTGTTTCATCCCTCCCGCCATTCGGTTTCACCCACTCCCGCCATTTCACCCCCTCCCGCCACCTACGAAATGCCCGAAGCTCTAGCGGAATCATTTTTTTGTCGCCCCTCGTGAGCCAATCACTGTTTTTCTCCAAACCCCCTTCCCAACATCTCAAGCCGAACCGCGTTGAATGTGCACCCTGGTTTTAACTTTCAGCACAATTTTTCAAGCACTAGGATACTAGAAGCAGCTTTATTCGTTCAGGAATTAGCGTATCCCGCGGAGCCGCCTGATGGCTCTTTGCGATAAGAAAAGAGCTGGTGACAGGGACGCGATTGCGTCGCTGCTGAGCCGTCTCTCTTGCGACGCTCGCGAATTCTCCTTCGGTGCGACGGGCGACAGCGACAGCGATGATGATGCTGGCGACATTGTCGCCTCCAGCCGCGAGAGTCGCGCGACGGCCGTTCCCAGAATCGCTATTTCGCCAGCAGCTGCGCGATCTTATGCTAAAACTGAAGCGAGTGTTAATGCGTACAGAGCAGGGGTAACTGCTAACGGTGGTTGTAGCGATCCTCCCATAGTTCTCTCCCCCCTCGAATTCTACCGCGACTATGTAGCGGCTAACCGGCCGTGCGTGATTACCGGCGCCGTCAGTCATTGGCCGGCATTGTCCCTCTGGCGGACCGACCAGTACTTAATTGACGCGCTAGGGGAGAAAAATATCACGGTGGATTTCACCCCTGACGGTCACGGGGACGCGATCGTTTGGCGAGACGGTATCGGACGGTCAGAATCGGAATCAGGGGAACAGGGAGATGAGAATCTGGGTTCAGGGCGTAACACGAGGGGAGATGCGGGAGCGAGTAGCGGATGTGACTGTAGGAGCGGTGACGATAGCGAGGCACGGGGTGGTGAGGTAAGGGAGAATTTGGGTGTTCGAAGGTGGGTGTTGTTTCCTGGGGAGAAGGGATGGGAGAACAAGGACGGGCGGGATAATAGAGAAGGCTGCAGGAATAGTAAAGGAAGTGGAAGCGACGAAGAGGCAGAAGGGGCGGAAGAGGAAGCAGAAGGAGAAACTGAAATGGTGGGGGAGGAGGAGGAGGAAGCGGGGCGGATAGATCATCAGGGGCGGAAAAGGGAATGTGAAGCAGCGGAATGTCCAGAGGGAAATAGTGGCGGCAGCTTTAGTGACAGCATTCCGCGGGCTTGCCGCTGTGACTCGCCCTGCGCGTGGTTTGTCACCCCACACGAAGCTTCCCTCACTCTCCCTACCTTCCTCCGCCTCCTCTACTCTTCGCGCTCTTCCCCCTCACACTCCCCCTCACACTCCCCTTCACACTCTCCCTCACTCGCCTCATCGCACCCCTCACGCTCGCCCTTCATCGGCATTCCCTATGTTCAGCATCAGAATGGTAGCTTCAGGACAGAATTTGCCGCCCTGGCTGCAGATGCGGACGAGCACGTCGGATTCGCCACAGCTGCGTTGGGCGGCAACCTGCCCGAAGCTGTAAATCTATGGATTGGGGACGAGCGGGCAGTGACAAGCTGGCACAAGGACCATTACGAAAACTTCTACGTGGTTGTCACGGGCAGAAAAACTTTTCGGCTGCTGCCCCCGCTGGACGTGTTCAGGATGAGAGTGCGGGAATACCCTGCTGCGAAATACTGGCGGGCAGAGGTACATCATGCCTGCCCTGCTGCCCTCCTCTGGTGAATTTTAAGGCGCCTCAAAAATCACCTCAATGCTCGTTTTGAGGCGCCTAGAAAATCACATCATGCCTGCCCTCCTCTGGCCGCTTTGCTATTCTGCTGCAACTCGCCTTGCTCGGCTTCTCATTCCACTCACCCCCACAATTCTCACTCAGCTCATGCTGACGAGCTGAGGTGGGGGCTCTTTTCTGTGCTCTTCTCTCTGATGCCTCACGATTGCCACATGTCGTCTTATCTGCCTGTACCTGTGGTTATCATACCCACTTGTTCCCCGTTCTCCCCGTGCATGCATGTGATCTGTTCCCATGTTCCCCCTGTTTTCCCTGTTTTCCTTGTTTCCCCTGTCCCCACCGTTCCCACCTGTCGCCCCTCGTCTCCCCTTACCAGGATGAGCAGGGTCCGTTTCACATCCACCCCACGGACCCCCCATGCATGGCTTTGTGGATGCCGCACTGAATCCCTTTTTGCCTCCTTGTTTCCTGTGATCCCCCCACACACACATGATGTGCCCTGCACTCCCTGTCCCCCCTGTCCGCAATGTACCTTTGTTCCCCCTGTCCCCCCTGTCCGCAATGTACCTTTGTTCCCCCTGTCCCCCCTGTATCCTTGTTCCCCCCGTCCCCTCCCCTCCCCCCCCCCCCCCGGTTCCCCTCATCCCACTTACCAGGACGAGCAGGGTGCGTTTCACATCCTGCCCTCCGACCCTCCATGCATGGTGCCATGGGCCTCTGTGGATGCCGCACTGAACCCCCTCATGCCATGCCCACACGGCCTGACTGCTGCTGCTGCTGCTGCTGCTGCTGGTGGTGGAGGAGGCTTGGGGGAAGACCCCAAGGGCCCTCCTCCCCTGGTCTGCACCATAGGTCCTGGAGAGATGCTGTACCTGTACGTGATGGGAGTGAGGAGAATGTGTGAGGGAGTTGAATCTGAGAGACTTGTTTGTGAGGGGAGTGGGGGAGAGACAGAGACATGTCATGAGAAAGGTGTTTGGGATGTGGGAAGATGTGCAGAGGATGGGAGATTGTGGAATGTGATGCATTGTGTAACGCAGTGTGTTCTGCTTCTCACCATGCCATCTCGTGGTTTTCGTTAATGCACTATGCCAATGTGAATGTGGTTGCAGGCCAAGCATGTGGTATCACCATGTATCGCAGAGTCCTGGGGAAACTGGCCGGACAATCGCTCTCAATTACTGTACGTCCTCTGCAAGTAATTTTATGTATGCACCCTATCTTCTGTATGTAAAAATTTGCAAGCTTATTTCTCCCCACACGTGGACGTTTTCTTGATGACATGTGGTTTTTGTTGTCTTTCGTCATCGATTCCATACAGGGTACGACATGCAGTTCGATGTCAAGTATGCTTACTTCAACCTTGTCCAATCACTTGCCCGTTTGTACAACTTATAATATAGGGTTGCGTAGTTAACAAAGTTGTGCAGAGAATGCCAATATTCTTTACTGATTATACTTTTTGCTCTCCAACGTTTCCGATTAGCCTTTTAGGGGGAACGAAGTATACAAGCACAGTAACAAACTCACTGGGCAGGCGGAAAACGAATTTCGGATAGCCCACCACAGAAACCACGCTGGTGCTTGTCTCTGATTTGTTCACAGAGATTTCGCCTCGTGTGGTTCGTAACAACTGTAATTTGATTGGAGTTGAAACTGCGATTCCATCACCTAACTGGCGCATCCTGCCGTGCCATGTCAGTCTGCAACCACTCTCAGAACAGAATCTGATGGGGCTGCGTACATTTCGTTACAAGGTTGGGATGGGAAGAAGGAAGATTTTCTCACCTATCCAATCGAAACTGTTCATTGTTGGCACGGGAAAGATTCGCCCAAGAGTCCCGGCAAAGAAGACAACCACGCTGAGCCAGCATTTTCTCCTGAAAGCTCTTGCAAGCTGTTTCCTTCAAACATGACCAATGCCTGCCCTCATTGCGTTCCTTGCCATTCTTTTCCGCCAGGGTGTGACGACGACAAGCCTGGTTGGTGGGTTGTGGAATGCCATAGGTTCGACAACCCGGCATCCACAAGTCATTCCCCAGATGACATGCAACAGATGAGGGTTCTACGTCAAGGAAAACTCTAAGTTCCATGCTACTGTACGTACGCACAGAATTTACGTATCATCCAGCAGGCTTTTGGATGTCAAACAGGAGGTGACACGTCACGTGGAGAGTGGGCATGGAAATCTGGTCACCATTGACCCGTCCCTCGCTGAAAGCACGCCTGCGATTCCCGCTTCAACTCTGTTCGAACAGTTGCAACACTCGCCGAACAGTGTCAAGCAGGAGGGAGCTGCCTCGCCAACAATTGCGAAATTTCGCCCTTCCGCATTCGCCGCGTCCGTTTGTTTCACGTCCCGTGCAGAGAACTCAGTAAAATTGTCACGTGTGATGCGGTCCGATATTCCGAGGCGAACGCCTGCCATACCTGAAACTGAAACCCCGAAATCCGAACCGTGCCACAGTGCTCTGCACCACAACTTCGACGGTGCGCCGAGCCATAGAACAAGCTCCACCACCTGCAAGCATGGCCATGCAAAGTCACAAGAAGGGGAACATCAGGCTTCCCCCCACCTCTTTCCGTTCGGGAATTGGATGGAATCGGGACAGTTGGGCAGGACCGATGACGAGGTTTTGATTGACAGAGGGTCTGCTCTCCGCAGCGCCACACCGTTCTGCTCCTTTCCGCCGTCAGCAGCTCCACATGCATCTCCGCCATCCCCGCACGCACAAACCTCTCCACTTCCGTCGATATTCCCCCGATACATCCCACCGTCTCCGCATCTTCTCGGGTTTTCCAGTCCCAAGGAAGCCCACGCTCCCCCCCACATCTGCTCTGTGCAGCTTCGTCTCCGCCCGCCTTTCCGCGTCGAAACCCCAACGGAGTTCCCAGCAGGCCAGCAGCATCCTAGGATTCACCTCAGCAGCACCGTCAGTCAGCTTGCTCTTACCCTACCCATCCTTGCCTCTTGCTTGTGAGCTGAGCAACCAGGCATAAAGCAGGAGCTTCCTTTCTTTCTAACCATCATCCAGAAAATCCGTTTCACAAAACAGTTTAGTTAGGGAGTTCAGTAGTTTCAACACCGAAGTTTCTGTTGGTTGCAAGTCGTAAGCAGGCGGTTCTTGTAAAGTTTCACTTCCTTTCCATTTTAAGGTAGTAGGCATGGCTCCATCAACGAAGTCTGCGATTTTCTGCTCTGACGAGGACATCATGGTTGATATGGTGATTGCTGCTAGCCAGAAGAAGGGGACAGTCGCTCTTCCGTCGTTCGGACGTGAACTTGTGCCATACTTCGTTCCAGGCTTCACTAACTTTACTGAGGATGCTGTTAACATCAATACGGACGTGGATGCTATTAGGAGGTGAGGATTGTCCCGTGTTTCACGGGTATCGATCCACTTTGTTTATTGGTCGCCAGAGCGGTCACTAAGTGTTTTCTTTTCCTCTTTGGGTAACAGGAATGGAGCAAGTGTTCTTGAGATTCCCCAGCCAGCCACGGTAGCTGGCGGCATGCGGAAAGGTCGTGGCAACACACGGAGATCCCCCAAGAAGAATAGGTCGCGACATGGGTCTCCTAATAACGATACTACAGCTCGTGACACGAATAATGGTGCTTCAGCATCCGGCGTGGCGGTTAATTCCTCAACAACCAGCTACACCGCTCCCGCAGCTGCAGCACCCCTTCCCTCCCGCGATGTAATTACTCCGCCACCTACCTCGGAAGCGTGGGCTGGTCCTGCGTACGTGAACTCACCTCCTCCTAGCTCTCTCCCTCTTCCCAGCTTCCTTAAGGCTCAGCTTAAGCCGAGCCCTTCCAACGTTCGTGTCTCATCGTCGGAACCCTCTTCTCCTCTCAAGCAGTCAGCACCTGTTTCGACTGATTTCGCTCAAGACTACGGCCGCGTTCCCGTGCCGTGTGCCACTGAGCACGTGATGGCTTACCCGATGAATACGTTGGTGATTGAAGGCAACCTGAAGAGGCTTCTTCAGGTCGCTTAGAAGCAGTGTCCAAGATTGCATGGCGACGTGGTGAAAGGATGTGTGGATGAAGGATTCCTGACCTCCGTATTTAAATTGGAGTCAGGAACGGCAAGAGCATCTGCGGAAGTCTTTTCCTGCTAGCCTGGTCCTTTCCCCTTAAGCTCTGGTCTCCATAATCTCTACCCCTTACCCCTTCCTCTTACACTCAATAGTAGCACTCCAGTTTGTCTGTTCGTTGAGCACTCTTGTTCGTGCTCATGTTCGTCTCAGTGCGTGTCGTTCGCCGTCTCGCCTGCACATACACATTCCCTCTTTCGAGTCTTGTCTTTCACATGTCCTTTCGCACTTGGGGTACCTAAGCCATGCAATGGTCGGAGCAGCCTATCCCTGATAAGGCTGGAGATGGAACTTTGAAGCTGGTTGGCAATGGATGGAGCAGCAAATTCCTCACAAGTTGGACGAAGTATCTTCGAAGCTATTGATTTCTGTTCGGATTTGCGTCACCTCACTTCCGCTCGCGCCTGAAGACTTCAGTGCGCCCGCTTGTAACTCCTCCGCTTGTCCTGCAAGCGTTGCGCGCCCATGCTCTTTCTGCTCGTCACCACTCTTCCTGCTCTGAGTACAGAGCAGCATCTTGGTCCGCATGTTTCGCAGACCGCGGCCAGGGAGTGAGCATGGATTTGTGAACCTCAACGTTGGGATTTGCGCAGTTATTCTGATGAAGTTTACGTATCCATGGCTCGTTCTGTTTGGCTAGACGCTAAGCTGTACGGAGCTTTCATATTCGACGATATTACTTGATAATTTGGTGTTTGTGCATCATGAATGCTAGATTGGTTGAAATGTTGGATATTGTCTAGAATTTAACTCCTCTACCAGATATCCACCATATGTTACCACATATGGCATCACAACGTGGGTGGGGTGATGTTCTCTTCTCTACTGAGGTGGCTATATGTTCCGATGCCTTGATACATATACCTCCATGACATTCAATAACATACCTCCATACCATTCAGACATCTGTAGCCAGGTAAGGTGATATCTCTGTGGTAATCCTGCCACTATCTGTACATCTATCTGCACATTGGTGCATCCTACACTGATCTCTGACTGTGCAAGGACCCAGTAAACCTAAAGACAGACTTGATGATGGTTGAAGCACTAAAGATGGTGGCAGATGGTAATGTAGTATTTACAGCGGACCACAGCATGATCATGTAGACTGTCACCATGCTGCATTACCATCTCTACTTGTCCACCCACAGGGTGTGAATCACAGTGCCGACAATATCATGAAAGTTGAGCTTCAAGCCGTTGCCGTCAATAATGACTGATACAAACCCCTGTTCTGAGTAATAAAACTGGGAGAATGGGTTGGTTGTAGTTGACCGCTTATGGCTCACCTGCGAGCCTGCCCCACTCGTTACAAAGAACAGTGAACTGCCAACAGACAAGGAGGTACAAGTAACAGGACATAGAACACATGGAGTATCCTGTAACCAGCCTTGGCCGGCAGTGATGTATGTATCCCTAGGAGGATAGTAGGGGCATTGAACTGCAGGCTCTTGGAACAGCCCCAGGTTATGGTCACGGGCATGCATGCATTGGATACGATATGAATGACACAGGATGGGCCCACGAGTCATGACATGAGCCCGACGTTGAATGTTTCTGAAAGAGCTAAAGAGTTATGGTGATGGTGGTCAGTGGATTGGTAAAAAGATCGGGGATTCAAAGACGGGTCACAATTCAAACATCCTCACCTTGCAGGTTCTTGGAAAAGCTCCAGGTTATGATCATGGCCGTTCATGTAGAAGTCCACTTGGTGCTCCTACGACAGCGCGGGGGGGCAGTGAGGGACACAGAGGTAATGGACATACATGGGTGGCCGTGAGGGCATGAGCTCCAGGTTATGATCATGGCCGTTCAAGTAAAAGTCCGCTTAGTTCCCCTGGTGATGGGCAGTTGGGGAGGAGGGGGAGGAAGACAGGGGAGGAGGAGAATGGGTGAAACACAGAGGGAGAATCTTGCCTGCCCTGCATTACTCGGGGGTGTCTTATACAGTAGGCATCTGGAGTTCCAACACACTATGAGGATATGGTTGAGGCACTGCACGAGCTCAGCTGATTCGCCGAACCATAGATCTCTCGATTCCTTTACCATTGAATGCTATGTCGGGATGGGGCTCCACCCACCCACTCACTGGATGGGGTTGAGGTACTGTACGAGCTCAGTTGAGTCCCCGTTCTCCCCGATGCTGCGGATGTGTTCAGGGGCGCAATATATACTCAACATCTGTGTTCCAGCACACTGGTAGCCTAAGGTTAAAGATACCAACTCACTTTAAGGATTGGGTTAAGGTATTGCACGAGCTCAGCCGAATCCCCGTTCTCCCCTGTGCTGCGCACGGGGTGGTGGCCAATCACAATTTTCCACTTGGCAGTTGAAGACGCAAGGGCTGCTCTCAGTGTCTGGGAGATGACAGCAGAGAGGGGGGGAAAGCGGAATGATTGGAGACAGAGAGGGGTGGAAAGGGAGAGTCAGCCGACGGTGGCCAATCACAATCTTCCACTTGGCAGTTGACGACGCAAGGCCTGCTCGCAGTGACTGGAAGGTGATTGCAGAGAGGGCGGGAAGGAGAACAGGGGGACAGAGAGGTGGGGGAGGGAGAGATAAGGAGGAAAGGCAGGGAGGAAGAGAGAGCAGGGCGGAGAGAGAAAGATGAGGGTGGGGAACGCATGGACGAGGAGTGGGAAGAGTGAGAAAGATGGAGAGGGATTGAGAACAAGGCAAAGGATTCTCAAGCAGGAGTGGAGGAATGAAGCTGGAACCAACCAGTTAAGTCAAACACCAACCACCTGATAAATTAAACGCCTACCAACCACATGAGTAGAACACCAACCTCGATCTGGAAGTGGATTGAGAGTGAATATTCCGGTCTGCCCGTGAAATTCAGCTTCTCTGTTTGGTTGGCCGTGGGTTTCCAGTAGCCAATCAGCATGGGCGACGTGTCAATGAAAAACAGCTCCACGGGTGCGTCGCAGGGCTCTGGTAATCGGAGGGGAGAAGGGGGGTCAGTTCGCAATTAAGTAAAGAGAATTGAGGTGAGGAGGATCAACAGCAGGGGGCAATCCTTGAGTAAAAAAAAAAGAAAAAAGAGGCGAGGAGGGTTTGTTATGATTTTAGAGATTGTGGGGTGTGATTTGCAGATAAAATGGAGAGGGCAAAAAAGCCCTCACTAGCAGATCAATGGGCTATGATAGGCGGCCATTGCCAATGGAAGGGCAAAAATTGACGGGAGGGGCCAGCATATGGAAAGGAGCAAAGGCATTATGATGGGAAAGGAATTGAGAGACTTAGGACAATGCAGCTCACCGTACGAATACTTGGGGCATGCGTCCCTGCGCACGTTGTACGAGCGCTCACAGCGCCAGCGAGGGTCACCGAGCCCCCAGTTGCTGAGGTTACAAGGATAGAACCTCACAACCCTAGACACTCATCATACAAATACTTGGGGCACGCGTCCCTCCGCACGTTGTACGAGCACTCACAGCGCCAGCCACAGTGGAGGCCCACAGTTCAAACCAAAGAGAAATGCATCTCATACACGAGAATAGAAGCTCACCATACAGATACTTGGGGCACGCGTCCCTGCGCACGTTGTACGAGCGCTCGCAGCGCCAGCGGGGGTCGCGCAGGCGGAGGGCTGGATCGAGCTGCGCCTCGGGATTGCCGTGATAGTCATGGTTGCCTAGAACTGGCATGGATGGGCGGGGAAGAATGGAATGAAATGGAATCATGTTTAGACTTGAAGGGCTGGATCAAGCTAAACCTCGGGATTGCCGTGGTAGTCGTGGTTGCCTAGAATTAGCGTGGATGGGACACAGTGAGGCACATCGCGGGAATGGGGCACAAGTGGGGTTGACCAAAAGGGAAAATCCGGATCAAACTGCCCGTGGGATTATGATGTGATGCGTGTGGTTGCTCCGGGTTGGCATGCGCATGAGGCTTTGAGACGTCTCAAAACGGGTTGGCATGCGCATGAGGCTTTGAGACGTCTCAAAACGGGTTGGCATGCGCATGAGGCTTTGAGACGTCTCAAAACGGGTTGGCATGCGCATGAGGCTTTGAGATGTCTCAAAACGGGTTGGCATGCGCATGAGGCTTTGAGACGTCTCAAAACGGGTTGGCATGCGCATGAGGCTTTGAGACGTCTCAAAACGGGTTGGCATGCGCATGAGGCTGAACATCATCAACGTGAGGAGGGGCGCGTCCCTCCTCACGCTCTGGGGTTGGGGCCCCAAGTACTTATACGGTGAGGGGCTGAACATCATTGACTTCCGTTGTAGTCACACATACCAGCGCTTGATTAAAGAAGGATAGAGGTGGCAGGGTGGGAGGGAATGGGGAGAGGAGGGAGGGAAGGGGGAAGTGGAGAGCCAACGCATAATCACACTCCCGTTATAGCCACAATATCACAAACCGACATACCACTGGGTGCCAGGGCTGGAAGCCTGGAAACTCTTAGTGAAAGAGAAGGTGACTGCGGTTCAGTTACTTGCCACACGCATTTGATACATTTGCACATCAGCTACACTCACATTCCCGTTAGTCACATACCAGCATACCACTGCCTGCGGAGGCTGGGGGCCTGGTAGATCTCCAAAAAGGAGGTGGACTGCGGAACACTTGCAACGATCATCTCATATAGTCACATCCTCGTGTTTTTTCCACGTTCGTTATAGTCACAAGTAACATACCAGGATACCACTGCGTACGGAGGCTGGGGGCCTGGTAGATCTCTGAGAAGGACGAGGTGAATTGCGGGTCACTTGCAACGATCCTCTGATACAGTCACATCCCCCCTGCATATTCACATGCTCGTTATAGTCACAAGTCACATACCGGCATACCACTGCGTGCGGAGGCTGGGGGCCTGGAAGATCTCAGAGAAAGAGGAGGTGAACTGCGGGTCGTTGCTGTCTGTGAGTCCGTCCTCATAGAAGTTGTCCCCCGTTGAAATGACAAAGCTGGAGCTGATCCCCCCTGCCACTCGCCCCATCTGACAGGCACACAATGGGTGCGAGGTGGGAGGGGGCGAGGATGGGAGTTGCGGGGAGTGGGTAGGATGGGTACAAGTCTGTCTGTCAGTCCGTCCTCATAAAAGTTGTCCCCCGTTGATATGACGAAGCTGGAGTTGATCTGCCCCGCCACTCGCCCCATCTGACGGGTAATGGGAGGAGGGGACAAAGTGGGGGGAGGGTGGAGGTGGGAAGACTGGGGAGGTGGGTGGAGGGCAGGAGGGTCGCTGCTGTCTGTCAGCCCGTCCTCATAGAAGTTGTCCCCCGTGGAAATCACAAAGCTGGAGCTGATCTCCCCTGCCACTCGCCCCATCTGATAGACAACGAGAGAGGGAAACGAGGGAGGAGGAGGAGGACCGGGGAGAACTAGAGTGTGGGGGGGGGGAGGGGTGAGGGAGGGGGTGTGGAAGGGAGGCATGGGGGAATGGTCACAAGTCTGTCTGCCTATCTCGGCTGCTGTCGGCCAATGCATGTACCACCCAGAATCGCAGTGACTCACCGCCTCAGTTACGAGCGATTGGTTGTGGTCTCCATTGCGACCCCAGTCCCCCACCACGCAAATTCAGTAACCACCATGGTAAGCAGTCCATCGATCACCCAGAATCACAGTGACTCACCGCCTCCGCCACGAGCGATTGATTGTAGTCTCCATTCCGACCCCAGTCCCCCACAACTAAGAACGACAGCGCTCCCTGCGACTTGACAAGCGTGTCCGTGCTCGCATACGAGGTGATTAAAGACACGGCGCGCCACGGGAATAGTAGCGAGATGCCGGCTGCGATGGCCGCGCCGGCGAGCAGGCCGAGAGAGAGGAGGAGGAGCGAGGGGCAGCAGCGCAGGCAGCCGGAGTGCTGCTTCACAACCTGGAATAACAAGGGCGATTCGCGGTGGAAAGGTTAAGAATAGAATCAGAAGGGCCATCCGCCTGGAAAGTACAAGTTAAGGATAGTTCAATCATCACGTTTCCGTATCCAAGCGGACGCATAAAGAAGGGAGGCTTCACACAGCTGGATAGGCGAAGAAAAAGCAGTGAAAAGGTAGCGGAATACGCAGCTGATTTCCACACTTTCGGGCTGAAAGGCCTACCTTTCCTGTTGTGAGAGAAATATCTTCTTCCATCCCCCTTTCCATCCCCCTTTCCTGCTCCTCCTCTTCCCGCTTCCACTCTTCATCCTCCTGCTCCTCCCCACGAAACTGTTGTCTGTGCTTCCTCGCCGTTCGCGACATCCAGGCGTCATCCTCGTCGTCCCACGAACCATTTTGTTGCAATACTTCTCTTTCTCCTCCTCTTCCAACTCCTCCACCTCCCCCCCGAGATGACGCGTCCATCATTTGATCGTAAGCAAGGATGCTACAGTGTGGAAACCAGACAGACCGGATTTATTAGGAGTGATTCGCCGTCACATGCGGTTCGCGGTAGCACTTCTATTGACGATGAGGAGATAAATCAATTACCCAGTCTCTCGAGGTATTGCATCAAGATTAGTCTGGTGTATGCAAGAAAGCTTCACCTACAATAAGGTAGACGTATTCAGCTATCTATACTCGACTCGCCGGGCCATGGCAACTTAGCGAGCATACAGTTTCTGACACGATACACTGCGATTCACGAAGCAACTTCAAGTGAAAGGGAATCAAGAACTGGCCACAAAAAACGGACTGACGCAAAAGGCATGATCAAACGGATTCAGGGAGGAAGGAGATTCAAAGCCGTGAGGAAGGAGATTCAGGGAGTGACTGGAGAATGAAATGAAGCTTGCTTGCAATGTGCAAGCCCTCGAGAACACCGAAGTCGGTTCCGGTCGGTGCCAGCTCCACCTATGACGAACCAGGCGTCAGAGCCCTCGAGGCTGAAAAGCGCGGGAAAGTGGGCTCGACTCGGCTCGGCTCGGCAATTTCAGAAGCAAGTGATGCTCCCTCTCTGTACATAAACCAAATCAAGTGCCTTTGTGCTTGCATCTCAATCAGCTTTAACCATCTTCCCTTTATCGCGTACACATAGAGGAGACAACCTCGGGATAGGCAATGCTCTGGAGGAGTGTCTCAAAACTCCAACCACGACGAAGATCGAATCCGCGACCTTTGGATCCGAAGTCCATCGCGCTAATACACTGCGCTACGCGGCTCCCGGATGAGAAATCACCTTCGCCAGCCGAACTAGGTCACATGATGTAGGCAGCGCGGGCGCAGCAGGGCAAAGTCGCGCGCGTCGCCCGCTCGCTCGCTGCATCCGCAGGAGGGCAATGGAGGAAGCTGGTCCCACACGCTGGTCACAGGAAGCCACATTGCGAGTCGCATCGCCGCGTCACACGGGGCGACTCGTAAATCTCCCCAAATTGCAGAGCTTTTCAAACCCAGCCCTACCAAACCGAAACATAACAGACCCTTTTTTACCCCTCGGTATCCCATAGTACCTCGAGTTGTTTGTAGTCCAACCACCAGACCTGAGGAATTGGGGGGGGGATGTTTGTGCGACACTGCCCTGCCAGTCTTCTCATTTTCCACTCCACCCACTGCGCCATTATTGCATGCATCAACTCTCCCACCCAACCCAGGGTCATGCGAAGACATGCAGATCTGCTTAAAGCCCGCGTCCCAAATTGCGAGCCGCGAGGGTCAAGTTTTTAAAACTTGACGAAGTTGAGTGTCCAAGCTTTTGAAAGTCACGCACTTGCAATTTGGGACTTTCGAAGACAGATTCACTCACCAGGGGGAAAACCGAGGGTTGGCTGGGTCTCGCGAAAAAAACGAACCTAGACGAAATCGGAAACTCTCGCCAAAGCCCACACCAGAAAAACTCCCTCTGGTCAACTTTTAAAAGCATGAACAATTTGGGCCGCCGGCTTTAACATAGCGGTCACCGCGGTTGATTATTTGCATCAGAGAGAGGATCATTTAGGGAAGACTAGGTGCGACGCGCCACGTAGGCTCCTCCTGTTGCGCTCAGTTTGTGGATGATTGAGGCTGAGTGTCGAGCTCTATAGATGTTAGAAACCCAAAGCAATACTACGCATTCCGCTACAACTCTCAGACCCTGTGGGGCTGCTTCGGGAACTTGTGGTCTAACTACCAGTCTGGCGCCTTCCACTCCAGCGTTGAGCAGAACAGCTCGGTTTAGCATCACGCCTGCTACCAACAGCTTCTGTTAGAAGCATCGTTGGTCCCACTCCTACTCGGAGCACAGAGTTCTAAACCCTCAGTATCATTTTCTTCTTGTAATAGCTTGTAGCGCCCGCTTGAAAGGAGCGAAACGCGTCATCGTTAACCTTCGCTACTAGAGCCGCTACTAGTGATCCTCCCGCTGGTGTTTCGACTTCGACGTTTGACTTCTCGTACGACGCGCAGTTCGAGATCAACACATCCGCGCTACCTTCACTCCCCCGCGGCTATCATGTACCACTCGAATTTCGAGTGGACGATCTTCGACGAAGATGGTAACCTGAATTCGTCCGTCCTCGTGCAAGCAGCTTCGGAAGATGCGCACACGGTCAAAAAGAAGGTCTCCGCCAAGGCCGCTAGCGCACAGACAGCCGCGTCCAAGCCAGGACAACTATCGAGGGACCTGACGACAGCCGACGGCTGCGACGGCGAAATCGCAGGCGACACCTCGGCGACGAATTTCCTGCCGCAGGCCGGCGACCTCTGCTGCGGTTGGAGCTGCGGCGGAAACGGCCAGCGCAAATGGCGGACGAAGGAGAACTGGGTGGCGAACCTCCTCCCCCTCGAGCTCAGTAGCGCGATTGGCGGCGGGGATGAAGCTTCGAAGAAGCAGGCGATTCTAGACGGAGAGATTAAAGCGGGAGTTGTCGATCTGGATGCTATAACGAGCAACCTCGGGATTTACGAGCTCGCCGTGTCGTCGTCTCTTTGGGGCGAAGTGTTTCGGTATATAAGCTCGAACGATGGGGCTTCCGATACTGTCGCCTCGATTGCTACTAATAAATCAACCAAGAAGGTGAATGCTGACGCATATTCGGTGCTGGAGCGCCTATGGAACACCGCCACGTCAGCAGTTGTTGCGAATGCTCTCGGAGATAAACCCAAGGGAGCGAGAAAAACTGAGACGGGGTCAACTAAGGCGCGTACTATCTTCTCCCTGCTGCAGCCGAAGCATTACCTGCCGCCGCAACTGCCGGAGCATGCGGGAAGAAAAACTCTTATCCTAGACCTCGATGAGACGCTGATTCATTCTTTTTTTTGCAAGTTAGAGCAGGCCGACGCGCAGTTTTACGTCGATATTTTCGGGCAGATGACGGACGTGTCGGTATTGAAGCGGCCCGGAACGGACGCGTTTCTGGAAGCCATGGCTGCGAAATACGAGGTGGTGATTTTCACCGCGAGTATTCCGAACTACGCAAACGCGATTGTTGATTGGCTGGATCCCGAGGGGAGGTTGATCCACCACCGGTTATACCGCGACTCGTGCACGTGGTGGCGGGGAGGATACGTTAAAGACCTCGCTAAAGTGGGACGCGATTTACGGAACACAATTCTCGTCGATAACAGCCCGCATTCGTTCGCGTTTCAGACGAGAAACGGCGTTTGCGTGACGTCGTACATCGACGAGGTTGAGGACGAGGAGTTGACGGCGCTGACGGAGCCGCTGCTGAAGTTGACGGAGGAGGACGGAGACGTGCGCGACTGGCTGTGGACCTGTTACGCAGCGCCGGCGGAAAAACCGTGAAGCACGGAGATACTGGGCTGATTCTAAAGCGCCACTTTGAGGCGCCTCGTCAATAAGCGTAAGGAGCGCCTGCCTCTGGCGCGACGCGCGGCTCCGTGATCATAAGCGGAGGGGCGGTGTGGAATAAGTGGGACAAGTGGATTGCTTGCTTGGTTGATCCTCGACCTTGCTTGCTTGCTTCCTTCATCGCTAGCTGCCTGCAGGGAGGCTTTGCGTTCGCGTCGGAAGGTTCGCAGGTTCCATCGTTTTCTCCCCATTCGTTGGTTTCGCAGATCCCACGCCTCCGCCAAAATATGGTCGCTAACATTTCGCTGCACTTTCGTTAGTCGGTTTTCTCTTTTGAAATGCTTGTTATGGCAACGTCCTTGTTGTAAACTGCATATAATGAAGTATCTGCTTTCCAAACCATCCCCAGCCAGAGCATGCATAGTGCAACTGAATTTGGCTGAACCTGACTAGTGTGAAGACCACAGCTGCCCCATAACAAAATATTGCATGATCATCAAGCTGATTTCACAGCCAGTGCCCTATCATGGAAAGTGGGTGGGCATGACACTTAGGCCACATATGTTATAAAAGATACCTAATACAATTATAAATCAGAAGCTTATCCTTCTACAGCCGAAGGTCCAAGTCCAGGCCTTCGTGGCTGGGAAAAAAAGGCGGTGCAGGTGCAGTATGGCGGTCCAAGACAGAAGTGCAAGCTTCTGCAAACATGCGCTCTCGCGAGTCATCCTTCTTGAGAGGCTTATGGTGTACCACCAGGTGCGGCCTGCTGTTGTTGAAAAAACTGTGATTCGCATGGTGGGGCCTGCTGCTGCTCCCCTCCCATCCTCCCTGTTGCGTGCATGGAGGAGACAAGTTACCTCCTTCATCACTTTCATCCCCTTTACGAGCTAGCTCAGTAGGCTTACAATCCCCTACATCTTCGTTCCTTTTTGAAGCCTTGCTTGCCTGCTCCACTCCGTCCCCAGGCTTTGTCTCCAGCAGGAGCTTTTCCAGAGAAGAGTCGGCCTTCTCTCCCTGCCAATGTTTTCGCATGTGTCCACCGAGCGCCTGACCGGAGGAAAAGGTTTTGTTGCAGATCCCGCAAACGTGTGCTTTTTGCGCCTTGCACACACGGCTCCGGACAGATTGAGGCGACTCAAAAATCGGTCCCGAGATCTTGCTTGGGGACGGCAGTGCCTCGTTCCCTTTACAGAGCGATCCGTTATTAGACACGGCGGAGTCAGGACCCATCCCATTGCCAGGAGAGCCGGCTTGTGTGGGAGCAGCATCCCACGAAGCTGCAACCGCAGGCGTGCTTGGTGCAACATTGTATGTAGCAGCAATGGCAGGGGTATTCAGAGTCGCAACAGCAGGAGTAGCACCAGCAATAGCATTCCATGCAAACTTCTTGGCGCCGCCACTGCCGCCTAACGCTGCTGAGTCAGCAGCGCGCTGCTGAGTGACACAGTGGCGCTTGCCCTCGACCTCATCCGAAAGGAGTTTATTCAGATCCAGAGTCCTTTTCTTGTGCTGCCGTGATAGCCATTCCTGCTGATGCTCTTGCTGATGTTCCACCGCTCTGCGGTG